TTAATAAACTTTATCTGTTTCTAAAACGTAAATTAACAACGTTAGTACGCAAATAAAAAATACAGTCTATTACATATGGAAAAGAGAGACATAAATGACATACTGAACAGTAACTGGAGAATAGGAAAAATGAGTCAACAAAACGAATATAGTTTTAGAATGAACATAAATTGTGATTGGTGGATGAAACAAAGACATAGTAATACAAGGTCAAAGAAATTAGTGTGGTGGTGAGCGTTTCACCAATCATTGGTGTGTTCACTTGTCGACCACACTTTACACTCCCACCGAAACGCGAACCACGTCCGTCGTCGTATGTCGCCGTCAGATAACCGGTTTCTTCTAATAGACACAGGCTTCGCACATCCCGAAGATTTCTTCGTTTGTCATTCTCAACTTTACTGTACGAACTCGTCCATCTGGGCCATAGCTTCCCTGTTCGACAGTGGCTTTAGGCCATAGACTTCTGCTCGTTTCAAAGCTACTAACGAGAACTTGGTCGCCCGGTTGTAAATTCTTGCGTATGTGCAACAATTTATCTCTTGTTTGGAGAGTCGTTAGATATTCTCTTATCCACCTATACCAAAATGCGGTGGTTAACTTCTGAGCTTCTTTCCATCTTTTATTGTATAATAAAGTCTTATCCACAGAAACATCGCCGGATGATAATCCTTTGTAAGTCAACAACGATTTATCCGGTAGAAGAGTCTCTAGGGTGCCAGGATCATCCGTCATTTTAACTAGTGGTCTGTTATTTAATATCCTTAAAGCTCCATCGATCGGCACACTTTGAAATAGAAGCGCTCTTAGAATAGTCCAATAGATGACCGATGAAATGGGAATATTTAACTGTTCTTTTGCATACTTGCCGACTTTAGTACAGAGAGCACATACTGTTAATTCCATTCTAGGCATAGTGACTAGTTTTAGAGGAGCAACTCTAAAATTAGCTACCAGAAAGGAGCAATGTACCTGACGAGAAACACTTCCATAACGAATGTACGTAATAGTATCATACGCAAGCTCAGAAGCATCGGTAAAGCAATTAATCTGAGATGATGGTTCAAACTCTGATTTCAAACATATTGGTATTCTTAAGTAGTTCGACTCTTTTATGTGTCTAGATAGACTTCCATTCTATAGATCTCTGACTCCTTTTCTAAGTCCCCACCTGGCCACCACAAATACCTAAGAGCATCTCCATCATGCGCCGGAACTACTGCTTGATGGAACACGGCTTCAATGTCCGCTGTAAGACCTATTGGTCGTTGTCGAAACCTGCTAAATACACCTACTAGGTTATTGACTAAATCAGGTCCAGAATAAAGATTTTTGTTTAAAGACGTTCCAGCATACTGAGCTGCACAATCAAAAACTATTCTTAACTTGTTAGGCTTCTTAGGATGAAAGACAGGGTGATGAGGAAGATACCAAATTCGTCCATCAACGTGGTTATCGTTTACCTTTTCGGCATAACCTTGTTCTATATACTGAGTCATAGCGCTCGTATAGTTTTGGAGCAACTTTGTATCCCGAATAAGTCGACCTTTCAAACAGCTAAGTCTACGTTCTGCTAATTTTTTATTATTAGGTAACTTGTGTTCGTGACTCCAAGGCAGAGCTATTTGATAGTGCCCATTTAACCTTTGCACTGAATTTGATATAGCACTCAGTGCTATATGGTCTTCTACAGACATCGACGTAGTACAACTAAACGGATCTTTGAATGCAGTTGAGTACAATTGTTCAAACTTATCCTCTAATTCCTCTTTATCTGAGAGGTAATTAAGTACACGTTTGCTTCCATGAAGTTCCCCCGTAGGGACCGAACAACGTCCAACCTAATAGAGTCCTCACAGCAGATGGTTCGTTCGTCTTTCCAGTTCTTATCTCTTTCATCTCGTGCACGCTCGGTGCATTACACCCAATCAACAGTTTGACATTTTCGTCTTCTACTCTAGGAAAGCTTATGTCTTTTAAATGAGACCAAGATGCCATTTGATGCGCTGTTGGCACAACCTTTTGAACCGCTGGTAGTTTTCTGACTGTCAACACTTTTTGCACCTTAACGGACGACAAAAATCTATGAAGTGCAATTCTATATCGACCTCTTTGGAAACCAATGACGATTCATTGCTAAGAGTCTCTAAAGACTCCAGTTTTGGTTTTCCCTCGAGGCCTAATTCGTCAGCCAGATCATCGACAATGAGGGAAGTATCGGATCCGCAATCTAGAAAGGCGCAAGTCTGGATGATTTTCTCACCGTTCTTTATCCATACAGGCACCAATGCAAATGCTACTGGACTCTGTGTATGCTTAACGTATCCTTCTGTACAGAACTGAGTAATACTGTGAGCATCACTACTTCCTGCTTCCTGTACAACAGGGTATGGTGTCTCCAACCGCATCCTTTAAGATCGCATGACCTCGGTGATCGACAGTTTTTCGCTGTATGGTTAGCCTTCAGACAAACATTACATAACTTGTGTCTAAGAACGAATTCTTTCCTTTCTCTAACATTCTTGTCTTGAAACTTCTGACACTGATCTAAAGAATGATTACCTGAGCACTCCAAACAGAATGAACTAAGTAAAGGGACATTGTCATCATTATTACTCGCATAAGATATCCTTGCTGCATTGTAATCTGCACTAATTCTACCTTTTAAAACCCAACATCCCTATTGCCACTATTACTATCGCGATTGACGAGTAATCCATATCGAGTATTAGCCATATCGGCTTGTTCCTTTACAAAAGTAGTAAGGTCGGCGAATAGAGGCTCACGACCTCCTCTGATAATCTTATAAGCTGTCTTTAGCCACTTTTGTTGAACATGCGTCGGTAATTTCAGAACCATAGCTTTAAAAGTTCTGGTAGAGTTCAGGTCAGAAACGTATTTCATTTGTTCGAGAGTCAAACAGCATGCTTGCATTTCCCGAGACAATTTTCTTAAACCATCTGGTTGTTTCCTTTTTATATTGGGAAAATTTAGCAAGTTGTCGATGAACGTGCGTGCTATTACGTGCTTTTGACCAAAGGTTTCTTCTAAAAGCTTTACGGCTTGATGATAGCCTATCTCTGGTTCTAGTATAGCACAATGAAGAATGGCGGCTTTCGCTTCGCCGTCACAATATTGAATCAAGTAATTTAGTTTAGCTCTAAATCCAACATTCTCGCATCCGATGCATTCCTCGAAATTTCTAATAAAATTCCAGTAATTTATTGGTGTACCATCGAATCTTAAGATTTCCCTTTTTGGTAAATACAGATTTTTTAATATTACATCCTCGCTGTTGTTTATTGATCGACCGAAAACCCCACTTCCCTGGCGACGTAACTTTTCTAGATCAATTTCTTTTTCTAACTGAGTTATACGTAGTCTAGCTAACTCTAATTCTATCATGCTATTAGTTTCGGGTTTGTCCTTTTCAAGTTGGTCCTCATCATAAACTCCCAGACGATGGGGTGATAACTCTGGGATATCATCGGGATCTTAGTATTTATTAGAAGCCATTTCAGTAAGTATATCGAAGTTTACTGTTCTAAACTTTCTAGGAAGCAATTTCCTACAGGGGTAACTGTAAGCTATTCTCTAAACTGTCGAATGCAGAATCTTGGTTTCGCCAAAGTCAGAACAAGTAAGCTATTTGGCTTAATAAACTTTATCTGTTTCTAAAACGTAAATTAACAACGTTAGTACGCAAATAAAAAATACAGTCTATTACATATGGAAAAGAGAGACATAAATGACATACTGAACAGTAACTGGAGAATAGGAAAAATGAGTCAACAAAACGAATATAGTTTTAGAATGAACATAAATTGTGATTGGTGGATGAAACAAAGACATAGTAATACAAGGTCAAAGAAATTAGTGTGGTGGTGAGCGTTTCACCAATCATTGGTGTGTTCACTTGTCGATTACACTTTACAGACTGTCTTGATCATAAAAAAACGTGTAAAGGACAGGGACTGCTAACTCGGTAAACATTGTATAGGTAGGCTACCTGTCCACTCACACACGGTTCATATAGACAAACAGGAAGAAGCTCACGCGTTCCAAATTGAAAGCATAAACTGCTTATACACGAACGCCGCGAGCTTGCCAAACAAAATGGATGAGCTACGTGAACTTAGCAACGCTAATGATGCCCATCTGATAGGAATATCTGAAACTTGGATAACGTCTCAGTTTACGGACCAGGAGCTAGCAATAGCTGGAATGTCTTTATTTCGCAACGACAGAAAAACAGGAATGGGGGGTGGGGTAGCACTAAACATACGGTCATGCCTGGAGGCGCACCGACTTCACAACCAAGAGTTTCTCAATCTTCATGAGTCAGTATAGTGCACAGTAAGACTGTCTACCACCTCGAGGTGTCTAGCTGGGGTCATCTACAGGAAGCCTACTGCCGACAACGAGTATGACAAACGTGTGCTGGAGGGATTAACTCGCTCTACGCGTCTCGGATTCTCTCAAATCCTGATTCTAGGGGACTTCAATCTTCCTAGAATCAACTTCGTGGAACATACATACATTGGAGATGACAACTATAGTGAAGCTCTGTTCTTCAACCTCATCGGTGACCTCGGACTATTCGAAAATGTGAAGTCGGCAACTCGTTGGAGAAACAGTCAGACGCCGTCGCGCTTAGACTGGGTATTCACAAATGAAAAATTCCTAGTTGACGACCTCACAATCCTGGCTCCCCTGGGGAAAAGTCACCACGCCGTCTTATCATTCAGCTTTGTCAGCAAAACGGAGCTAAGATATCCTACTAGCAACAACCATTTTAACCATTTGAACCATTTATACTAACAAAATATCTATTTCAAAATAGCTACAAATAAGTGACTAGATTATTCATGTAGGATATTAAAAAAACCTGCATTTGCACCCTAACTTTAAGAAGCTAACGAAAGGAAACCATTTAGTTTAAACTAGCTTGTGGCAACGATATGTAATTATAATTGAATATCAACCTTGGTGTAAAATTCGGAATCGTTGTGTTGTATTATTAATGTGAATCCGTTTTTTATTGAAGGGCAATGAAGTGCTGGAAGAAGAAAACACAAATCCCGATAAACTAGACATGCAAACGGTTTATGAGACTATTTTGTCAGTAGGCTTTTTCTTTTGTCTCATAATAGCGTTTTATTCGATTTTTGAAATATATACGTTGTTGCTGACACGTTGTGTTCTTTCTCCTGGCGTATTCACTGAATCTGGTTTGTATGCCGTTGGTTTAGATCATTTTTATCTTCAAATAAACACTGATAGCACGGTTTACAACTTCGCTATTGTTTTTTCTCTCTTTCAGATTGTATCACATACTGCTGCTCGCACTTCCTCAGAACCCCTTCAGGATAAGCGCATACTTATGAAAGGCTAAACGTTAAGAGTGCATCAAATGCGCTGATTGATATGTCAGCCTCTTTTAGTGTACTCTTCCCCAAATCTATTAATTATTAAGGCAATCTCGGCCATCAAATCGAATTGAGGAATACAATAAGTAATGTCCAAACATTTTACTCCCTTTTCCAAGTTACCTTCGCTTTGTCCAAAGATGTCTTCAGACGATACGTTTAAAAACAGAAGCCAAGACATTCTCCCGTATGTAAATGGAGTTTTTATTGAGCCAGGAGTGAAGGATAGCATAAACAAAATACAAGTTGGTTCACTAGATCTCTCTGTATTCAGCTGTCAGTCGATAAACCCAGAAGCTATCAAGCTTGCAGAGAGTTTCGAGTATGATCCAAAGTCTTTGGAAAGTTTCCTGAAAAGGCTTATAAGTTCTCTTGAAGCTAACATGTCTCGGTTGCTTGAATGCGTCTTTGCTTCACTTGAATTCGAATCCAGGGACTTCTTTGGTGAAGTAATTCGAGAAGTTGTCAAAAAAATGCAAGAGTTTACTCATTTCTACTCTGTGGATAAAGACTACTTTTTTTATCCCGACCACTTAATTGAAAAAGACGATTGTGATTTTCTCTTCCATTTAACATTCATTCTTCGTTATTTATGCTGTCCTGTTTATCGCGGAAAATCTCATGGTTTAGTTGTTACGTGCAAGTCGTTACGGCTAATGGTCCCGTTGACTATATTAACCCGTATTATTCATGAATCTGTCCCTCCAAACAAACTATTTAGTTTTCTACCCATCTTTTGCAAAAGCACAGAAAGTTATTGTAATGGTCGAAGCATAGCAATGATTTACCAATCATCTGACATAGACTCAGCTGCTAGGTACTGTGTATCATCATTACAAAATTCTCTGGGTACTGGAATAGGCCACTCACCCCTCATTTTAGTTGAGGAATCCATATACAGACGTTTTATTAATCGTATGGACAGCCTTATTAATGTAAACACCGCTTCAGAAGAGTTAGAGAATTACGAAAAATCAGAATATCCACCATTCTGCACTAATTATACTCATGAAGTAAAATCTTATGCAGACTCTGTTGGTGCCAAAATTCTTTGCCGTAATCAGAAAATGCCACACTCCCCAATTATTGTTTATGATATTACTCCATCATCCGTCAAATTTAGTAGAAGGAGCGGTCCAGTTGCCTTTGTTCTATGCTTTCGTACTGTTAAAGAAAGTGTGTCTTTATTGACATATTTTATCGACCATTTCAATAATCATAAATCTAATGAAGTTAGTCCGTTGAGCTATGAATTTGCGATAAATATATGGCAAACAGATTCAAATATCGTATGGCAACTTTTCCAGATGTTATTGCTATCAGGTGTGGACAACGTTTTTGTAAATGCTTCTAGTCGCCAACTGGCTGCAACAATGTACACAAGGCTTTTCGAAGTAAATGGATCATCATGTTTTCCAAATGAGGTATCAAAAACGAACAACAATGGAACGCTATATAAGACATTAAGTACAGTCATCTCTACTGCTCGTGCTGCCCAAGCTAGTTCAATGACCAAAGGTTATGAATTAATCCAAAGTGAGGTGCTTGAAAATAAAACCTTAGCTGGTTTTTCAATTGAAGAAGATGCCTTCAAATACTTCATGTGTTACAATAGTAAGCTTTTGGGAGGTCCAGGGATACTTTTCCTTACTGGAAAAAGACAAGACACACTCCTTATTCCAGTCGCTCATCTTTGCATAAAACCAAGTGGACCAATCGTGCTCGTAATAGACTGTAAGCTACTATCCGAACCTAAAAATCGTACTTTCGTTTTGAAACTTGTATTTTTTATTTTATTCGCAGGTAATGCTGTTGTGTTACTTATGACAAATAATGACTTCGTCGATGGAAAAAATAACCTTTTAGATGTCATCAAAACAATTCAAAAGAGGTTGAGTGTTACTTCTTTGATAGCTGTTCATGAATGTAATTGTCCTATGACAGAAATCAATAGTATCTTATCTAATTTGTGTGAACCTTTAACAGTTGTAAATTTGGATTGTGTTGATGTTTTTACTGAAGACCTACCTAATTATATTTCTTATTTATTTTGCTTATCTAAGCCTGTAACTTTGTATTGGTCTACAGGTTGTAATGTTTTTTCTTAATTTGTATACATCAATACATTTGTTATTATGAAGTATTTCTTAAAACTCATTCCTGCGCTATTTTGGCTTGTGTAGATAGAGTTTAAGGGAACTTTGAAAATAAGATCATAATAGAATCAATCTATGGAGTGACTGATTTTGTGTTTAAGCCACATAAAAAGATATAAACTTTGTAGTTGGAGCATACAAGACGACAACATGGTTGGAAGTTAGACATGGTACACATGTGGATTCATATAATTTTCTAACATTGTAGCACTCCACTTGTTAGATTCCGTCAGGAATGGGACTAAATTTATGGTTCAGTAGACCATTTATTTTTGTTGATTGTGACAATTTCTTACTTAGGATTAGCAGATTAGCTTTCTACAGTTATGTGGTGATTAGGTTATAGCCTACTCAAGGTAAGAGAAGTTTAAACAATGTAAACGAAATGAATATAAAGGAAGTGTTTAAGTACGTATCTGCCTTTGGTGTAAAATAGGTCTTAGTCTGTCATATCTTTGAATTCATTTTAATATCGAGTTGTAAATATCCTTCTGAGAGTTTCTGAAATAAAAGAATTATCCTATGGATAATGAAGGGGAGGTTCGACTGAGATATTGTCACAACTAATTAGTATCAGTAAATATGAAGGCCGTTTTCTTTTTCACTTGCCAACAATCCATCTAGGGTCATAGGACACTCCCTTATTTCATTTGTTTCTTTTAAATTTTCTGCCTTAGTACTCCATTCCTGTTAGCACCACTGTTTTTACTAAAGTTATTGTCATTTCGATTCGTTTTTAGTGGTTTATTGTGAAATGTGACTACTTAAGCGGGTACATATTCTTTCCAGGATCTATATTTGAATAGTTCTTATATTGTGATTTAGAACAACATATATAAGTGAACAATATTGTTTTCGATTAGATCCTCATCAGGCTTTACGCTTATTTACAGTAATATTTATCTGCATATAAAAAATCATTAAACCAATCAAAGTAGTTTATGAGTCAATGATAATGGTAAGACAGACTATATAATAAACATAATTGAAAAGTACAAATTGGTAGTGTTATGAAAGGTGTACTAGTTGTGATAGGAATATGTTTTTTTATTATAGCTAACGATTATTGTGAGTGTACACGAGATACTTAGTCAGTCAGCTACAACGTAGGACCAGGCACATAAATGCATCGGTCCAAGTTGCCATACCTCGTTAGCACAACAAGATGAACACCGAATTCATAGAAATAGTTAATTTAGTGGTGGTAGTATATAAAAGATAGGTTGTATGTAAGGATATAGTATAGGAAGGAAGATACTTAGTTCAGTGTATTGAGTTCAAAAGTAAACTAATGATTAGCGATGAGTCAGGAAAATACAAATGGTACTTAATAAACTCACTATTAAGGTAAAAAATGTAATAATGACGTCTATGTTATCCCAGTCTGCATTATTATCTCACTATAAGGCTTAGCCAATAAAATTAGATATAATTTAACTACAAATATTTAATCGTAGGTATCTTTATAGGAAAGTACACCGTTCTGTCATTGTGTAGTGTTTTACAATTTGATGAATAATGAACGATCTGAGAAAAGATAAAATGAATGGATGGTTCATCGATCAGTAAGTGAACACAAATAATACGGTGTGGGCCTCTAACAGGGAAGTCCTACTCACTGCCTTCTCACAGTGGCATTACTGTTGCTTACGTAATTGAGAGGATGAAAAGCGAATGTCCGGCGCTTTAACCGGGTTGGTGCTCCAGTATCCTGAGGGAACAAATGGCGTATGAATCAATCGTTGGTCACCGACTACCATGTGACTGCATCTCCCCACGATGTTCCATTGCCTTGTGGATCAGATCTTTAGGTTAAAGGCTTCGGGTGTGGTCCCCTAAGAGACCACCTGCTTCAGTTTGGGCACCTGGGTAGTATCACAGCCGTCACACAAATCGAATGAGATTTGTGCGGCGCATATGTATTCGGTGCTTCCTTGTACCAATATTTATGTGTTCAAATAAGTAAATAATGATGTAACTATACTAATTTTTCTGAAATAGTTAAAATAGAATAGACCTTTGTAACCAATTTTAATGAGACTGTATTGATCATGTGTATGACCTCAAACAAACATTCATTAGTTATTATTAAATGAATGTTTTTAACTATTCTATGTCTAGTATAGAAAGTTTGTGAAGACTATGAAATTTACATGGGTTTTAATTACGATCCGGTTCTAAATGTCTTATTTACTTACTTCACCTGTTACCCCTCGTGAAGGAACATAGGCCACCCATCAGTATTCTCCATCCAACCTTCTCCTGGGCAATCCTTCCCAGTTCTTTCCACTTGTTATTCATCCTTTTCATATCTGCTTCAATCTCCCGGCGTGATGTGTTCTCTGACCTTCCTCTTCTCCGCTTCCCTTTCGGATTCTAAGTTAGAACTTGCCTCGTGATGCAGTTTGGAGATTTCCTCAATGTATGTACTATCCACTTCCAACGTTTTTTCCGATTTTAACTAGGCCACTATTAAAAACCAAGAAGCACCTAGTAAAGAGAGCATCAGCATCAAAACCACACCATAGGAAGTTGAAAGTATGACTTTCAGTCTCGCACTGGACATCTAACCTCTAGATTAAAAAGCATACTAACTTTAGGATACGATTCCTGAACTTCCAACAAGAAACTATGATAAATAGAGTTCAACAATATATCGGGTGTGACATAAATACCCAACACAGGCAATCGAAGATGGTCATGTAATATTGTGAATTGATTAGGGTAAGATATGAACACAATTCAATAGTCACTCAGTGGTTAGGCTTTCGAATGGAGACCTACACTTCTGAATTCGGTTCACCATAGTGATGTTATGCTCATTCACTGACGATGAATTCCATAGTACTTCGAAACATGTTGAATATAAGTGCATTTCAGTGACTAAGAAATGAATCAATTTACTAAAGATTAGAGTGGTATACATATGAATAAGTATTAATGCACTTTATTCAGTAAAACACTTCACTTTCTCGCTCAAGTAGTCAGTTGGGGGATTAGTGCGTAGCAAACCGTGTATCAGTATCAGATTTTGAGCACCATCGATCACAACACTGTACATCACTGAACTTTCACACTATTGTTTGATAACTATTTTGCTTAACAATGAACCTGTAGAATCAATAATATTTCTCTGAGGGTTAGTGATTCATCTTCCGACAGCCATTACCAGATCACGTACTCTACTCACTAGATACAACGTGCCATAAATACTTTATGTCCCTAAATAAAAACATATGGAGACAATCAAACATGAAATAATAAGTTAGTCAAAATACTCAACTTCTAGAGACTTCCATGGAAATATGTTTTGAACAACTGAACCCAAGGTGGTCACATGTATAATAAAAAAATAGTGACTGACTTCGACAGGTAAATCCAAGAGTTTTAGTAAGAAGCATTGGCCAGTGGAGTTCAAACCACGTCTGTTGTGAGATAGCAACTCACTGAAGACAATTGGTGAATTGGATTGGTTGGAGTTAGACATAAACACCGGATGATGGCTCAGTGGTCTATTGGTTAAGTGTTCTGATCCGAGACTGATAGGTCCTGGATTCGGATCTCGCGAGGCGGGATCGTGGGTGCGCACTGCTGAGGAGTCCCATGGTAGGACGAAACAACCGTCAAGTGCTTCCAGGTTTTCCATGGTGGTCTAGCTTCACTTGACTAACACTTTCAACAATGAAAATAAAATAGATAAATATAACTTGAATTCTGTAAGGTAACATTCTTACAATCTTAGTTCATTAATTTATTGACTACAATGGTACATGTTTAAATCATATGATATATACTGTATATCAACAATCGATTGTTTTTATGAAATACAATCATTGTTTCATTGAATTACATAAAATCAACCAAATAGCATACATAACATCAAGACAAAGTTAACTACTAATCTAATCAATTAAAAGGGTGAATTATTCAAAGTTTACCAATTTAAACAAAGATTGATGGATAGTGTCTAGTAGTGGAATCCAAGACGTGCCTTTAGTCCTATTCAGGACTCGTCAGCTGGGTGAACCTGCATCTCACAGTTGATGTTCACTCTGGGACTCCAACCCAGTACCGTTCACTTCAAATGCCATCACGTTATCCACTTAGCTACTCAGTCCTGTTAGCTACCTGCTTGTGCAATGAGGTGAGGTTTTCAAATTCACTTAGTATTGTTTGTTTGAATCTTCCCATTGATGTTTAGGACTGCAACTGGTCAGTCTCTTATTGGCACATGTGCATAATATGCGTATTGTCTCTATATAGTCTTAATTCACAAGCATTATAAGCAAAGATGGATAATGGCTAGCAGTGAAATCCAGTTTGAAGCGCGTTTCATCCTATTTGGGACTCGTCAGTTGGATGTACTGCTAGCCACTGTCCATCTTTGCGAATATTGTTTAGTTTATTAATTGTGTTGTAATGTTGGTTTTAAATTTTTGTTATTGTTATTTAATAATAGAAAAGTGGTTAAAGTTACTTACGTTTTCGATAAACAGTTGATGATGATAAGTTTGTTAACTAATTTTGTAAGTATTCATTTAATTGCATATACTTTGAAAATGTCTTCCGTCTTAGTAAGTATATGACTGGTGAGATCTCTGCATAAATACTATAAGTTGGATTGATTTTTTAGTCCCCAAATACCCTAGTACGGCAGAGAGTGAGGAGAGTCAGCTGTCACTCTATAAATGCTCTCATATGCCCACGTGCATATAACCACTGACAGAGAACTAATACCTACTGCCTTCTCATAGGCACAGTGTTGCTTACGAAATAGAGAGGACGAAAGGAAAATATCCGGTGCCTTGACCGGGTTCTGGACATGAAGGATCCACTTAGGGGAGTTGGAAAACCTTCATTCCAAACCAATGGTGCACACGCGCTTCAGGATCCTGAGGGAAAAATTGTGTATGAACCAATTATTGGCCACCGGCTACCATGTGACTACATCTCCTGTCGTTGCTCCACTGTCTTATGAATCAGACCTTTTGCTCGAAGGCTCCAAATGTGGCCTCGCAAGTGGACCAAGTGCTTCGGCTTTGGCACCCGTAAAGTATCACAGCCAATCAAAAGATAAGTGTAAGGGATACTAGGCCTTGCTTTATGTCTATGAAACATAGCTTATCAAATTGGTTGTCTACGATTTACTTCAATAAAGGACCGAACATAAAAATTAACACCAAGAAGGCTTTTATCAATAAAAATGAGTATTCATAAAGACGACTTATTGAACAATGAGGATCTATAGAATAATATAACTGAACATAAGATAAGGTTACAAAGTCTCAGAGACTAAATTTTCTAGATTGTACTGTGGTGGAAGATCTTTTTAAAATAATGATTATGTTATAGGAGTGATATGATGCTTTTGGCACTAAACTAATGTATTTCATCTAGGTAAGTAATGGTTGGGATTACATTTATAGATCCCTAGCCATCTTCTATTCAGACGTGCTATGTTACTAGCTGGTAGTGAAGTGCGTTGGGAAAACTGTAAGGGTCTGTAAATCAACATGTGTCAATAATCTGTAGAACCATTGACTATCCATCTATGCTTTATCTATAGATTTAGACTCCCTGGTTGAGTATTTTCCTGTAAAAGACATAATCTATGGTTCAAAAAAGTTTAGTAACAAGGCTTGAAACCAGTAGCAAGGAGTACATTTTCATTCATTCAATGTTTTCATTTAAATTTGAAGTTAAGTATCCTTTTGTACTGTCATCTTTCATACCATTTGTTCTCTGTGAGCTCCATTTCTCATGTTTAACTTTCCATCTCATTTGTTATGATAACTCCGCCTGTAGCTCCTCCGGGGGCTACTGCCGGTCCCAAGCTCGGGTAAAGGAGGAAGGTTGGGCATGGGGTTAGCGACCTCACCCCGTAGAAAATCAACTCGCTAAAAAAACGCTAACCAGAAAAAATTATTCAAACCATTTAAACTCTGCCCTGGGAGTAGAAGGAATAATTATGACGTCTCATGATGAAAGCTGAGTTCCTTCGGAAGTCATGAGGCCGATGCAACTTCTTACAACCAGAGCGACAATTTTTATAGGTACATGGAACGTCCGGACAATGTGGGAGACAGGAAGAGTTCTCCAAATTGCTGCAGAAATGAGAAAATACAACCTGGAGGTGTTTGGAATCAGTGGAATCATTTGTTATGATTACTCTTCCTCTTTTTTTATCCTATTGAGTTCCAATCATATACTGAACGGTTTTTTATATTGTATAGGTTATGAATAGATTCTGCCTTGGTGCCTGAATTCTTCCGTCAGTATTCACATGGTATGATATGATGTGATCACGGAAATCTTGATAATGTATATATATTAGAAGGATGACCTGAAATGAACAACTTTGTGTCTGTATTTCTCAGTAAACATAGATGAAAGAGTTTTGGGGTAAAAAAATAAAGACATAACCTCTTCCTAACGTACATGTAGTATATGATGATAGGTCCAAACAGATGTATTAACTATTTGGATGGTTATTCTTATAAAGGGTAGTTTTCAAACATCTAACCATCCGAGTTCAATCATTACTTACTTATTTACTGGTTACTTACGTCTGTTAGCCCCAATGGAGTATAGGCCGCCGATCAGTATTTTTTCTGATTAGAATTTTTTCTAGCAGGTTAATTTTCTACGGATTGGGGTTGTTAACCTGCTTGCCCAACTCTCCTCCTTTATCTGGGCTTGGGACTAGTAGTAGCCTCAGAGGGGTTCCGGGTGAAGTTGGGTTCAATCATACTGTACACAAAACATCTGACAGTGAAGGCAAATAGATAGTGTTCTCCTAAACATTTGGAATTAACTGAAGTTAAAGATATGAACTATTGTATGTTGGCTCAGTAATCTGAAGTTATCATGATCGCTTTTGCATTGAAAATTATGGGTTTTATCCTTGTTAGAGTCGAGTCCCTATTGTTTCGTAGTCGTATACTAGGACGAAAGAGATACCTCCTATTCCCAAGTTTTGAATGATTCATTGACTAAAATCATCACATGGTGTTAACAAAAATTAATTATTTCCTTGATGAACATATTTCGTTAATCTACGATATCAAAAAAATCTAGAAAGATTATTCTAGATTTACTTCGTTGTTTTCCATGTGAATTCAATATTATTACTTGCTGGTTATGTAATACCATGTGTAGAAGAAGCGCTGGAAGTGGATAAGACACACACTGAGGAAGTCACCCAACTGTGTCACCAGACAAGCCCTCACATGGAATCCTGAAGGTCGAAGGAAAAGAGGAACAGCAAAGAACATATTACGCCGAGAAATGGAGACAGATATGAGAAGAATGAACAACAACTGGATAGAACTAGAAAGGAAGGCCCAAGACAGAGTGGGTTGGAAAATGCTGGTCGGCGGTCTATGCTCCATTGGGAGTAACAGGTGTAAGTAAGTAAGTAAGTGTGTAAATTACAAAAGTGAGTATTTCGTTTTAGAAATAACATAAACATAGTCAATTAGCTATGATAGTTAAGTTGATAGTATAAATTATCAAGATTCTGATCATCGTCAAAATATAGAACCTTCATATATCTCGGTATTGAAATCGACAATTAATTTCAATTTACTGATGTGTTTTAAATGCTACTTATAATTTGACCATAAATACAAAGTTTACGGAATAATTAAGAAGCAGGTTTTATTCATGGCTTATCTCTATGAGTTATAAACTCAGTCTTTCATTTAACACATCACTAAACCAAATTTTAAATACTATTTATTATCCTTTCACTTACATACAATGACATCAAAATTACATAATAAGAATTATATTACTAATAAGTAGTTTATCTTTTTTAAGTAAATAATTACCTGCAAGTTTGATGAAGGTTCTTAAAATGGATTAAAACATACTCATTAATTGTTATAATAATAATAATAATAATCACTGAAACTAAGAAAATTTGTCATAAATTATCAAAATAAATGAAAATTACTTTTTTTTGTTGATTACTGTTTGTTGTTTCAATATCAGAATGATTGATTCTTTCTTTATAAATGCATCAATGTATGTACAGTAGGTATACATATATATATATACTACTTAATTCCAATAAGGTACAACCAGTAAGAAGACAAGTTACTAATTTCAATAGCCTGAGTTTATAAATAATCAAATGTCATTTATATTGATAAAATTCATTATTGAATTTGATTAATAACATTCCATCCAATATGGGGTGAATGTAAATTATACTTAGATGATGATGTAGAATATGGTGTATGAACTAGTTTTGGTGTGACACGAATTGTTTTACTGTTGTTTTCATCATTCAATGTTTCAATTCTTGGTAAAGATAAACTTTGTACATCTAAAAAAGTGATTATAAATTGAAAGAAATAGTTAAATTGAAGTATAGGGAAACAAAAACAAACAAACAACCATACGTATTGAATAACAAATATTAGAGATTGATATAGGTTGTAAGCTTTATGAATAGATTATTATTTATTTTTAAATAGTTGAAAGCGTGAGTCAATTGAAGCTAGACTATCATGGAAAACTTGGAAACACTGGACTGCTGTTTCGTCTCATTATGGGACTCCTCAGTGGCAGTGTGTGTCCACGATCCCGCCTTATGAGATTCGAATCCAAGACCAACCAGTCTTGCACCAGATCACTTAACCGTTAGGCCACTGAGCTGGCCGGCATCCAACGGTGTTAATGTCAATTGATTCATGATTTCAACTATGAAAAATACTGAAATCTTCACAAAACCCCTTCTGATTGTTATTTATTCTAGTGAACAGTAACCTTAAGAGTTACTAATGTTGTTTTTCATTATGAATCATTGATTATCATATTTACATGTTAGCGATATTGTTATGTTCCGATAACGATAGTGAATGGTAACTTTGGGATCTATTTATGGACCAATACTATGGGTATATTCTCATCATATAACTGCTAAGTAACTTAACTATTCATATTTATGTTCCCCTTATTATAGGCTTTATTTTGAACTATAAACTATTGTTATATGATTTACCATTCCTGAATAATGCCTTGTCTATTATTTACTATCTCCCCTATTCACAGACACATTTGAGTGAATCTTGTACAAATGTTATTTTCTATTTTATTGGTACGATGTGGTCAGTTTGCTTGTTATATAAACTCAGTATGTTTGAAATATAAGGATTCATATCGCAGAGGTTGTTCTGGACTTAACTGGCTGGGCTAGGCAGAAGCAGGACCGATAAGGAGTCTAGAATGCTCGTACGGTTTCCGTGTGTCACTGTTCCAATCGATAATTCGCTGATTAGCTGTCTTATCACGTCATACGTTTACTAAGCATCGACTTCGCAACAAGTTATAACAGGTATGAATTCTTTTATCTTTGAAATGACGGAGAAATTAGTTTCTATGTGAAGTAGACACTAATAAAGTTGTACAGAACAAAAATGAAGGCTTCACGATCAAAAGAATTCGGCTTGAAGAACATAACACAAGTAAAATTAACTATCTTTAAATAATGTTAAGTTTTAAAATTGTTAATTATCAACCATATGCTTTTATTGGATCCACTATCAGAATGTGAACTACTTACTTATTTATTTGAACACATGAATATTAATACAAAGGGGCACGGAATACATATACACTACACAACTCACTTGATTTGTGTGTGTCCCGTGATACTGCACGTGTGCCCTAACCGAAACACGTGGTTCTCTTAGGAGGCCACATCCATAGCTTTCAACTTAAAGATCTGATTCACAAGACAGTAGAGCAACGTTAGGAGATACAGTCCCATGGTAGCCGGTAACCAATATTTGGTTCATACACAATTAGTTCTTTCAGGATCCTAGAGCACATGTACATCATTGGTCTGGAATAAGGGTTTCCCAACTCTCCTAGATGGATCCTCCATATCCACCAACCAGGTTAAGGCATCGGACATTCTCTTTTCTTCCCCTCACTTCTGTAAACATTGCCGTGGCCATAAGAAGGAAGTGAGTATTACTTCTCTGTCAGTGGTTATATGTACGTGGGCATATGAGAGCATTTGTGTAGTAAGATCTAACTCTTCTCACTTTCAGGCATACCAGGGCTTTTGGGAGCATATGAATTACCTTATATACGTAACGTTTAAAGCGATTATAATCTTCAAAATACTCAAAACTGTTCACATGTATTTCATTTTTTGAACATATACAACTCAATTATCAAGACATCTTTCAAAAACATATCATATGATTAGCAGAGATGGATAGTGGCTAGCACTGGGATCCAGGACGCGCGTTTCGTCCTATTTGGGACTCGTCAGCTGGATGTACCTGCACCTCAGAGTTGATGTTCACTTTGGGACTCGAACCCAGTACCCTCGCTTCAAACGCCATCGCGTTATCTAATCAGCTACTGAGTCATGATAGCCACTTGCTTGTGCAATGGGGTGGAGTTTGAATTCACTTAATATTACTTGGTTGAATCTTCCCATTGATGTTTAAGACTGCAACTGGTCAGTCTTTAATTGGCATATGTGCATACTGTGAGTATTGCCTCCTTACAGGTATCAGGACTCAGTGGCCGAGTATATAACGCGATGGCGTTTGAAGCGAACGGTACTGGGTTCGAGTCCCAGAGTGAACATCAACTCTGAGATGCGGGTACACCCAGCTGACGAGTCCCAAATAGGACGAAACGCGCGTCCTGAATTCCACTGCTAGCCACTGTCCATCTCTGCTAACCATACTTGTGAATTAAGGTATATCGAGGCAATACGCACAGTATGCACATATGCCAATTAGAGACTGACCAGTTGCAGTCCGAACAAATCGATGGGAAGATTCAAATAAACAATACTAAGTTGAATATCATATGATTGTTAAGGATGCTATAACGGAATTAATATGAGGTAAGTTGAGATTTTCAGAACTATTTTTTCGATTATTATTATTATTCAAATCTTTATTACATGACTAACAGTTAATTGTATTGATACTATTCTATATTCTTCATACTGTAAGCTTTCAGAGGGTCTATCAACTTTTACTACACGTTTTATTATCCTTTAATTATTGTTAAGTAATTTTGTTCAGAAGGGGTTTTGTAAAGATTTCGATATTTTCGTAGTTGAAATCATGAGTCAATTGAAGCTAGACTACCATGCAAAATCTGAAAGCACTGAATGGCCGTTTCGTTCTATTATGGGACTTCTCAGTAGAATCGTGGATGCACGCTGCTGAGGAGTCCCATAATAGAACGAAACGGCCATTCAGTGCTTTCAGATTTTCCATGGTGGTCTAGCTTCAATTGACTCATGATTTCAACTATGATAATTTGCAAAATAACAATCAATTGTCTCAATCTTCACTGTTCATTCTGTAAATATCGATTCATCTTTTCTAAGTCCATTATTTATGCATTTTCCTACCAATTACGCTTCATTTCAGTTCGTTCCTTACTGGTCTTCTGCCAAAATACATTCTATGCCTGACTATCACCATATACTACTTATATGGATATCAGTAACCTACACCAATCAAATATAGACCTTATGAGTCATTTATCTAATTGACAAATTTCATTTTCAGATCATGAAAGGATCAATGTTAGATTACCATTAAAAACCTGGAAGCAGTTGTCGACCTTTTCCCCCTAGTATGAGACCCCTCAACGGTGCGCATCCACGATCCCATATGCGGAACTCGAACCCAGGACTTCGATTGATTAATAACAAATACATAAGAACTTACATGTTGTCCTTCTATCATCATTTTGATTCTCATCAATATTATCATGTAAATATGCTTTGGTACGACATAAATTATCACATTTATACATCACATTTGATGTATTCAATAATGATCTTGGATCATATGTGTAATGTTGATCTAGTTTATGAGTGATAAATGAATTCAATGTATTACTATTATTAGTAACACTGAAAGCCTCATCTAGATCGTAGTTACCATATTTTGAGTAAGTAAGATTCTTTCGGTTGCTATCAGAATAGTTCTGTGTACATCTCTGATAATAACAATCATTAGTATTACTGCTGTTATTACTATTATTATTATTATTTGGCGGCAGTATTTCAAATGAAGTCAACTGGTTATATTGTTGTGTTCGCAACAGATCACATGAATCATGATGATGGTGATGACGATGGTGATCATGATATTGATTCTGATTGGTTGATTGACATTTTAAACAAAGTTGATGATTGGTTATTGTAGTAGTTTGTTTAACTGAACAAAATTCTATGATGGTAAATAAAGTTAAATATAAAGTGAATATACTTATAAAGATTGTAAGTAGTAAATCTGTAAATGAAGAAAAGAAAACAACAACGAAAATTCAGTTTTTAATGTCCATTAAAGTTAGTTAAACATTTAAATATGAAAATATTACATGCTACTGATATAGACGGACATAAGTAGTATGTATTCATCAATCGAAACTGAAATATCTGATGGCGGAAGGTTAAGAAGATCGAAGAAAAGAGGATGAGAACATTAAATGGTTGGTGTGGAAACAAAGGAACAATCAACTTTGAGACAATTGATTGACATCTCACAAATGAAGTGTTTAATGTATTACTTACTTACTTACTTAAGCCTGTTACCCTTCGTGGAGGAGCATAGGCTGCTCACCAGCATTCTCCATCCAACTCTGTCCCGAGCCTTCCTTTCCAGTTCTTTCCAGTTGACATTCATCCTTTTCATATCTGCTTCTATTTCACGGCGTAATGTGTTCTTTCGCCCTCATCTTTTCCTCTTTCCTTCCAAATTCCAAGTTAGGGATTGCCTTGTAATGCACATTGGTGATTTCCTTAATGTATGTCCTATCCACTTCCAACGTCTTTTCTTAATTCCCTCTTCAGCTGGAAGCTGGTTTGTCCTCTCCCATAAAACGCTGTTGCTGATGGTATCCAGCCAATGGATGTTGAGTATTTTGCGTAGACAACTATTTATAAATACTTGTACCTTCCTGATGATGGCCGTAGTAGTTCTCCACGTTTCAGCTCCATACAGTATAACTGACTGTCTTGACGTTCGCATTAAAGATTCTGACCTTGAAATTGGTTGAGATTTGTTTTGAGTTCCATATGTTCCTCAATTGTAGAAATGCTGTCCTTGCTTTGCCAATCCTCGCCTTTACATCTGCATCCGATCCTCCTTGTTTATCAACGATGCTCCCCAGGTACTTGAATGTTTCCACCTCTTCCAAAGTTTCGCCATCAAGTGTGATTGGGTTGGTGTTCTCCTTGTTGTATTTGAGAGTCTTGCTTTTTCCTTTGTGAATGTGGAGACCTATCAATGTAGAGGCTGCTGCTACATTCGCTGTCTTCGTCTGCATTTGTTCGTGTGTATGAGATGGGAGGGCTAGGTTATCTGCTGTATGACTGTCAGATTTTAATAAGATATCCTGTACTAAAATACATTCGATTGTTCCCACTTGTGTTCTTTTTCACTACAATATTAGTTATTACTAAGTTGGTCGACACGTTTTCATCCCTTTATCTTACTCCAGTTTAATATTTATGTAAATTGACGAAATAAACTCATCTTCATTGCACTTCGTATTAAATTTGGGACACATGGATATGAGTATCGTGTTAAGAGGGTGGTTGGAGGTGGTCAACAGGAAACCCTGGACCCGGGTTTCGTGCTACTTGGCACTCGTCAGCAAGGTGTACCTGTAATTTTGAGGGAACTGATGCTCTCTGACGAATTCGATCCCGTGTCACTCAGCTTCACAGTCATAGACGTTACCACTGAGCTACCCGGGCCGCGACCGACCTCCTGTAGGACTGAGTTGTAATCATAATTGATTGATCGCTGGGTGGTGATCACTGTCATGAGTGTCAAATCCTTCTTTAGTGCTTCTTTCGTGTCGAGCCACCAAGACTAGTGGCCACATTTGAACTTGACCGATAGCATTCGATCAGCACTAAAGAAGGACATGACACGCATGACATTGATCACCACCCAGCGATCAACCAATTGTGATGAGTGTCGTGTCTCAAATTGGAATAGTTTTTGTAAAGGTATGGAGTTTATTTGAATATACTCTCTTTTTACCACTCACCTAACATTCCTTAGATACTAATTAATATCATATGTTAAATTCACTAATCGGTATTCTAAGTATAACTTCGTCTATCCGACGTCTACTATTCCTTTCATAGTGGAGCGCCCACTTACTCATCTGACGTGCACTGTTATCTTCGGGGCAACGTAAGCTATGCTACTATCGGATATTTATTCTCAGGCCTTCGTTATCTTCTGCTTTGAGTTTAATAAAGAAATAAGCAGTTAACTATTACTATGACAGTGCATTACACTGTAAAATACAAAATCACAGTTACACACAAATAAGCTAAACGTAGCTATGAACATGGGAAGTTGTAAGTCATAACCTGTCAATAATTAAAGGAGTATTAAGTTGTATAACAGTAGTGAATGGGTTTAACGAAAGCCTTTGGCCAACAAAATATATAAAAACATTGATCCAGTTACATTGAATGTTTTCACAGTATTTCAGCGCCAAGTTGATGTAGGACATTAGAGAGGAAGAATATTGCTTTCGAGTGTATGAACGTTTCCGTTGACAATCTGGTTCAAGCTTTTCCAAAAAAATTAAATCAAATATCAAGATTATCGATCACATTTCCTTGAAAAAGCTTGAAGCAGATTGCCATCATATTTATTCGACTGAAAAAGGCTTTTACAAGATATCTGGGTGATCATTTGATCTTAATCACAGGTTGATGCGCTTCGCTCATGAGAAAGACCCTTGCGGTCGTCGTTCAACAACTAATCAGAGGAATACGACTCATCCTCAGAAAAATAGTATTCTCACTCTGTATGAATAAACATCTCAGATATGAAAACCATGTTTAATAAGACTTAAAGGGGTATAATTGGTCGGTAACCCTTCAAGATCTCTTCAAGGTATAATTTGTAATCCAAAGAAAGCGATAATAGAGTAAGACAAACTATACATCTTCTACAAGATTAGCTGAAGTAACCGTAACAGATAGTAAATAAAAAAAGAGGACACAATTTCAATAAAAGTCGAGGACGATAAAATCTTAGATAGAAGCAACACAAAACGGTCCTGAATAGTTTTCAGAAGCTTGGCACCCATACTACTAATGAATCTACAAATGCCTTAAAATGAACTCCTAAAATTAAAATCTAATCAAATATAAGGTCAGTACTCAGATCAGCAAAAAAGGAAATCAAGATACCTATGCAATTACAATAGTGCTACAATCTTAGATAATGACTCATTGGACTCTGTTTCAAAAGAACAAACTGCCGATCAATTGTAGAAAATTCTCAATTACTAATTTCTTTCTTAAATTTCTGCTGAGAAAGTTGTATAGAGAGACCATGAAAACTTTATGAATAAATTATCCAGAGTGAAGAGAATGCAATATACTGTTAAAATACCCACATATACCGACAAAAGCATTTCATATAGTTGAGATCAATATTCAATTGAAGTTAGACCACCATGGAAAACCTGGAAGCACTGGATGACCGTCTCGCCCTCCTCAGCAGTGTGCATCCATGACCTCGCCTCTTGGGATTCGAACCCAGGACCTATCAGTCTCGCACCAAAGCACTTAAACAATGGACAACTGAGCCATTTGAAATATATAAAATTACGAAAATCTCCACAAAACCCCCTTCTGAAATGTATTTCAGTCAGAATACTAAGTTAACCAACAGCCTCTATGCCGAGTTTACATTTATATTGTCATTTTGAGGATTTGTGAAGATTGTTGTATTTTTACAGCTTAAATCACGAGTCGGTCTAAGTAAGATCACGATTGCAAACCTAGAAGTACTAAACATCCGTTTTGTCCCAGCATTGGACTCCTCAGTGGTAAATATTCACGGTCTTACACTTGAGATTCTAACTCAAGACTTTTGATCCAGCGCGTGAATGCCTAACATCTAGATTATTGAGCCTCGATTTAACAGTGTTAATGTCTAAATTCAGTCAATCCATGATCTTGTACAACCCTTCATCCATTCATCATAGTTAGATATTAATACTTTTGGGTGCCGGGTCAGTGATCTAACAATTAAACGTTCATATGTGAGGTCGAAGATTCTAGTTTCGAATTCCGCATTAAGGATTGTAGATGCACACCAATTAAGAGTTCCATACTAGGATAAAACAACCATCTTGTACTTTCAAGTTTTCAATGGTAGTCTAACTTAGATTGACTCAACTATGCCTATATATATATACATAAACAGAAGTAATTGGAAATCAAATTTCCTATCTACTAAGTTCCTTAATAACAAATTACACCATTACGTCAATTAGCAATAAACTTTACATTATACATGACTTTTATGTCAAAATAAGAACTCATTTATTATACATATATATCAATAATCATATTATCTATGTAGAATAAGACAAATGGATATAGATAGATATACAGAGAGAGGAACAGAGAGAGAGAAAGAGAAAGATCAGAGAATGCTCATTCATTCATTATGGTAATCATAATTATGATTATTAATAGTTGAGTATAGTTGAAGAACGTAACAATTTTTGTTTTTCATTATTCTAATCAATCAATCAATCAATCAATCAGTTTAGTATTGATTATGTTATTACATAAGGATGTGAACAATTCATAAGAGTAAAGGATAGTGTAACAACAAAATCAAGACAAAGATGAATAGTGGCTAGCAGTGGAATTCAGTTTGACGTGTGTTTCATCCTGTTTCGGACTCATCAGATGGATGTGCCCGCATCTCACAATTGATGTTCACTCTGAGACTCGAATTCAGTACTGTTCGCTTCAAACGCCATCGTGAGTCCTGGATAGTACGAAACGCGCGTCAAACTGGATTCCACAGTCAGCTAATATAATATCAATTCAATAAGTAAAATATGCACATATACCAACAAGAGACTGATCAATCGTAATCCTAAACAATAATAGGAAGATTCAAGTAAACAATACTAAATGATTTACACTTCAATTAAACGTTTCATTCAAAACAACTGTTAATTAAATTCAAAGTGAGAATCTTCAATACGAACGTCAAGACAGTTCTACTGCATGGAGCTGAAATGTGGAGAATCACTACATCCATCGTCAAGAAGGTAGAAGTATTTTTCAACAGTTGTCTACGCAAAATACTCAACATCCATTGGCCGGATACTATCAGCAACAGCGTTTTATGGGAGAGAATAAACCAGCTTCCAGCTGAAGAGGAAATTAAGAAAAGACGTTGGAAGTGGATAGGAAATACATTAAGGAAATCACCAAACTGCATCACGAGTCAATCCCTAACTTGGAATTTGGAAGGAAAGAGGAAAAGATGAGGGCGAAAGAACACATTACACCGTGAAATAGAAGCAGATATGAAAAGGATGAATATTAACTGGCAAGAATTGCCCAGGAGAGGGTTGGATGGAGAATACTGGTAGGTGGCCTATGCTCCTCGACGAGGGTTAACAGGCGTAAGTAGGTAAGTAAGTAAGTAGACGTTATAATATTAAAACATAATCTATACAATCTAATCAACACTAAAAGAAACTATTCCAGGAAATAAAGACAAGCATAAGAACAATAAACAACAACAATTGAATAGAACTAAAAAATGGTTCAAAACAGAATAGGTTGAAGAACGTTGGTCGGCAACCTATACTCCCCCACTAAGAGTAACTAGTTTCATTGTAATTCATTATCAAAAAAAAACACAACAAAAAACGAAACATACAAAATATCGATTACTATTATTCAATCATCAATCAATGTAATGATTACATCACACACACGAAAATTATTTAATTAAAACAAATTTAATTATTGGTAAGCAAAGATGGATAGTGGCTAGTAATGAAAATCCAGTTTGACGCGCATTTCGTCCTATTTGGGACTCGTCAGCTGGATGTACCTGCCACATGTCATAGTTGATGTTCACTCTGGGATCGCATTATCCACTCGGCAAACATAAGAACAATAAACAACAACAATGGAATAAAACTAGAAAAAAAAATGGGTCCAAGATAGAATAGGTTAAAGAACGTTCGTCGGTAACCTATATCCCTCCTCTAAAAGTAACAAGTTTCATTGTAACTAAACAAACAAAATATCCATTCAGTATTGTTTTGTTTGAATCTTCCCATCGATTTGTTAGGACTGCAACTGGTCAGTTTCTAATTGGCATATGTGCATACTGTGCGTATTGCCTCAATATAGCCTTAATTCACAAGCATGGTAAGCAGAGATGGATAGTGGCTAGCAGTGGAATTCAGTTTGACGCTCGTTTCGTCCTATTTGGGACTCGTCAGCTGGATGAACCTGCATCTCAGAGTTGATGTTCACTCTGGGACTCGAACCCAGTACCGTTCGCTTCAAACGCCATCGCGTTATCCACTCGGCCACTGAGTCCTGATAGCCACAAAACAAAATATCGATTACTCATATTCAATCATCAATCAATGTAATGATTACATCACACACACACACACACACACACACGAAAATTATTTAATTAAAACAAATTTAATTATTATTATTATTATATACACCATTAAATAGGGAACTAATTTTTTTTTAATATTTTAATTTTTCCGATAGAAACAAACTTAAATTAAAAATTTTTTTTTGTTTTTTTTTTGGCTTGTTTTATTCACCAAGAGAAAAAAAAATTAATATTAATAAAATGAAATAAATATTGAAATAATAATAAACAATAGAATTTGTTTAAATAGAGTATAAAAGTCTCCTATTCACTACCTTCTTGTGGCGGTGTTATTGATTATGAAGTTGAAAAGATTAAAAGTGAATGTCTTGGCGTTTTAACTGGGTTGGTGGATGTGGAGGATTTATTTAGAGGGAGTTGGAAAGATTTCATATCAAACTAATGATGAACATGTGCTCTAAGATCTTGAGGGAACAAATAGAGTATAAACTCATTATTGGTCATCTGCTACCATGGGACTGCTTCACTGACTTGTGAATAAAACCTTTAGGTTGAAAGCTCTGGGTGTGGCCTACTAAGAGAACCACATGTTTTGGTCTGGGCATTCGGAAAGTATCATAAGCTACACACAAATCAAGTGAGTTTAGTGGTGTATATGTATTCGTTGCCCCTTTGTACCAATATTTATGTGTCCAAATAAATATATAAATAACTAACGTAAACGTTAAACAGTATAGAAACATATACAGGAAGGTGGGAGGAATGAAAGTATCATTGGTGAATATTGAAAACCATTTAGCACCATATGACTGTTTCTCTCTGGTATGAGACTCCTCAGAGGTATGTATTAACTACTCAACCATGTATCGAACCTAAAACCTCCAGGTCTCATAACTAGCTCTTGATATTTAGACTACTGAGCTGGTAATTACAGGTCAACTGTCAATATTGCTCAACTATATTCCAATGTCTTCAGTGGTTATCTGCATCATTCTCAACACGGAAACTTATAAACTTCAAGAATCTTCACAAGCTCTTTACTTTAAGTAATGTGGTTTTGTAATTTTTTAAAGTTTGAAGATGATTTCGATCAGGAATCATTAAAAACTAGTAAACAGCTATTTCATGTACTCGCTAGTGAGTACATGATGGTTATTATCGGAAAGGTGGTTTTGTGGATATTATAGTAATTTTATAGTTGAAATCATGAGTCAATTGAAGCTAGACCACTCTGGAAAACCTAAAAGCACTTGAAAGTCATTCTGTTCTATCATGAGACTTTTTAGTAGTGCTTATTAACGATCCCGCCTCACAAGATTTGAACCCAGGACCTATCAGTCTCGCGCGCGAGAGCTTAACCTCTGGATCACAAGAGAATAAATCAGCCATCCAGTGCTTCAACTATAAAACATTTATTTGTTTAAGGTTCATTAATCCTCAATAATGCGATCTTGAGTCCTTTATATGTTAATCGTTATTTATTTTATTTAAACACATAAATATTGATACAAGGAAGCTGCAGATAAATATGCGCCACACAAATCAAATGTGATTTGTGTAAGGGCTGTGATACCACCCAGGTGCCAAAACCGAAGCATGTTGTTTTCTTAGGGTCCACACCTCGAGCCTTTGACCTGAAGATCTGATCCACAAGGAGGTGGGGCATCGTAAGGAGATGAAGTTCCATGGTAGCCGGTGACCAACGATTGATTCATACACCATTTGTTCCTTCAGGATACTGAAGCCCATGTGCACCATTGGTTTGAAATCAGGGTTTTTCAACTCCCCTAGGTGGACTTTCCTTGTACACCAACCCGGTTAAAGCACCGGACATTCGCTTTTCGTCCTTTCAATTTCGTGAACAACACCCCCGCCACTGTGAGAAGACAGTGAATAGGACTTCCCTGACAGAAGCTATATACGCGTGGTCATGTGAGAGCATTTCTAGGGGGATAGCGTACTCTCCCCACTCTCGGCCGTAACGGGGAATTCGGGGCAATCTTACAAAACTCAAACTTTCAAAAAACAAACAAACAACCAAACTTGAAGCTTATTACTCTATTTTGATTATAACAACAACTTACTTTTTAAGTAAATATCTACAGGGAATGTTGAACTTTCATACACTGTTGGAACATTCAATTTAGACAATCTGATACTTAAACTGACCATACTGAAAAGAAAAAAAAAGAACATTTTGTATTACTGAAAATAATTGGTATTTGTTTCATAAAATTTTTTTCAATATGCAATGCTTTGTGAGGATTGTAATAATTTATTAGTTGAATTCATGAGTTGATTAAAGTAAGACCATCATTGATAATCAGGAAGCACTAGACGGTCGTTTCATTTTAGTATGGGACTCTTCAGCAGTGTACATCCACGATCCTCAATGCAAGATTCGAACCCAGTACCTTTGGTCTTGCCGTCCTGTGCTTTCAGGTTTTCAATGGCGGTCTAAGTTCAATCGACTCATGAATTCAATTATTATATTATGATAATATCCACAAAACTCCCTTTTTGATAATAACCATCATGTACTCACTAGTGACTGGCTTCAAGAGGTATTTCCTGGAGTTCTAATGAGAAGCTGTGACCAGTAGAGTTCGACCATGTCTGTTGTGAGATAGTTATTCACTAAAGACAACGGTGTTGCAATTCTGTGGATTGATTGAAGTCAGACATTAACACTGTTGGATACGGGCTCAGTGGTCTAGAGGTTAAACGGTCGCGCGCGAGACCGATAAGTTCTGAGTTGGAATCCCGCGAGCAGGATCATGGATGCGGACTGCTGAGGAGTCCACAATGGGACGAAGCGGCCGTCCAGTGTTTCCAGGTTTTCCATGGTGGTCTAACTTTAGTCGATTCATGAGTTCAACTGTTAAATCTTGATAATTGACAAGATTCCTCTATGAAATACAGGGATAGGTAATTAACTTTCTACAGCATTTAAGTAAAGATTACGAACTGATCTTATCTGGACCACCATTAAAATTCAGGAAGCAATGAACATCTGTTTCGTCCTGTTATGGAACTCATCAGCATTACTCGCAATGTCATAAACTGATTTAGTTCAGACATGTCTATCACTAGATACCGGCACTCACGCGACATCAAATATCTTGAGCTCGATTCTCTGTGTTGTAGTTGTGGAAATACACTGTCTAGATGCTTCATACCAGAACAAAACTGTTGTATAGTACTCTCTGGTTTCTAGTGGTTTTCTTTTAGCTTGAATCAGTTCGTGATTTTAACTATAATATATTATGAGTTCCTGGCTTTTCGTAATTCTTTGATACATTCTCCGGAAAACTGGGTGAATGTTCAGAAAATGTTGACTAATTAAGTTTCCTCAATATGTTGCAGGAAAAATGTAGAAAGTGATGAGTTATGTTCCGATTACTTTAATTAAACAATTATCGAAATTCGTTAACAAATTCTATATCTTTTCTAGAAGCTTCTTACATTTTTTGGTTAAGTATAGTCCCTACAAATACCATTACTTTCTTTAGGCAATCTAATCTTTGGAGGTATGGCTTCTCTTGCATTTCTCATCATTCCTTCCATTGAAAATTTCAATGTAAAAGATGTCTCTGAACGTGGAAACGGTTAAAAAGTTTAAATTCACTTAGTATTGTTTGTTTGAATCTTCCCATTGATGTTTTAGGACTGCAACTTGTCAGTCTCTTATTAGCATATGTGCATCCTGTGCGTATCGCCTCGATATAGCTTAAATCCACAAGCATGGTAAGCAAAGATGGATAGTGGCTAACAGTGGAATCCAGTTTGACGCGCGTTTCGTCCTATTGAAGGACTCCTTAGCGGTGCGCACCCACGATCCCACACTCACGAGATTTGAACTCAGGACCTACCAGTCTCGCGCCAGAGCACTTAACCGATAGACCACTGAGCCGGCATCCAACGGTGTTAATGTCTAACTTCAACCAATCCGCGAGACTGGTAGGTCTTGGGTTCTAATCATGCGTCTGAGGGATCGTGAATGCCCACTGCTGAGGAGTCCCATAATAGGATGAAAAGGCTGTCCAGTAAATTCATTTTAGACATAAACATTTAGTAACAGATATTCTATATCTTTATTACATTAGTGATTAAACTGTATTGATTTGAAAACAAATAATTGTCAGTCAAAATGCCTCAAGTTCAAATCTTATTTTGCCTAATTTGGTTACAGCAATTTAGTAGTAGTATTGTGATGTAGGTTACCTATATCTACATAAGTAGTATATAATGATGGTCAGACAGAGAATGTATTTCACTAGGAGATTGATAAAGAAAGAATGGAAACGATAAGAAAATGCATAAACAATAGTAATCAAAGACTATGGACTGATATTTGCAGAAGGAATGCTCAAGATTGAGACAATTGATTGATAGTTTGCAAATGAACTATTCACTGTTAGGTTGTCAGATTTTAATGAGATATTCTGTAATTTTGTCCTCAAATACATTCGATTGTTCTCATTCACTACAGTATTACCGGCTTTCATATAAACAATGTAACACAAACATTATAAGCAAAGATTTATGTGCCTAACAGTGGAATCGAGGATACGTGTTTCGTTCTATTTGGGACTCATCAGCTTGATATACCTTCCACATCTCAGAGTGCATGTTCATTCAGGGACTCGAACTCAGTTCCGCTCGCTTCAAATGCCATCACGTTATTCACTTAGCTACTGAGTCCTGCTAGTACATCCAGCTGACGAGCCTCAAATAGGACGAAACTCCCATCTTGGATTCCACTCCTAGCCACTATCCATCTTTACTTAGAATGTAACTCAAACTCTAAAAAGACATCAACTTTACCAATATAGTTCAAAAAAAAAAGATCATTATTAACTTTACCTTGATATAGACAATTCATGATAAGGATAAATAGTTTTTGGAAATATTAAACGTATTAAATGATTATTATCCATTAAATTATGTAATTCTATATTAACATGATCTAATCTTGTTAATGCACCACTAGCTAATTTACCAATATGATTCATTTGTTCTTCATAATATAAAAATAATTGACTACAATTCATGATCGTAAATTTAGATCTGAATTGATGATTCTCAGTATATGGAAAGGATGTTATATTCTTGTTATATAATATAGATGGATCGGTATAATTTGATAGAAGATAACGAAACTTCATAACCTATTTTAATAATATTAAAAGAAATGAAAGATTATTATTATTATTATGAGGGTTATTCATAGTTTTAAGGGAAAAAAAACGAACACTGATAAGTCTTACAAGTAGAATGTTATACTTCGGATCCCTGAACTAGTCTCGTAACCCCCAAGTTGCAATATGGTCACTAGTCTAGGTGACTCGACATTGAATGTACTATTTTGAGATAAGATGGTCGTTGGAGTTAGTCAACAGGAAACCCTGGAAATAGGTTTCATACTATTTGATACTCGTCAGCAAGGTGTACCTGATGTCTTGAAGGAATTGATGCTCCGTGACGGATTCAATCCCGTGGTCAATATGTTTCGATCGGTACTAAAAAGGATCTGACACACATGACATTGATCACCACCCAGTGATCAATCAATTGTAAATACATTTCAGTCCTGTAGAACGTTTGTCGTGGCTTGGATAGCCCAATGGTAACGTCTTTGATCGTGAAACTGGGTCACACAGGATCAAATCTGTACAATATAGAATTCTCAGCATAAATTATTTCAGAGAGTTTCCGTTTCTTATTTCCTGATGGATCCTGACAATAAATATTGACCGATCGCCAATTAGATGTAAGCAGATCAGGAATCGACGTCTGGATAATATTCATTCATTTTAATCAATATTGCCAAACATCATGATGTCTGTGATCGTACTTTTCTGTAACTTGTACAGCGAAACGTCATAAACGTTTCATAAATACGCAAAACAGATAACCTGATGAAGTATTTAGATAACAGGAACAGGTAGCTATAAAATACGGTCACTATTAAAGAATCTCGAAAACGGTGAAATAATTAACGTTAAGTGTTCAAGTAATATTAGTTATTCTACAACTGGTTTCTGATATAAATGAAAATCACTATCACATATCCAAGAGATCTGAATATATCTTCTTAACACAATCAAGAATCTTGATAAATCTTCTGTCTCAACACTTGAATCGGTTTCTTAGACCCTTCCAATAACCTCAAGCTAAATCTAAACGACAATTAAACACAAAGAAAAATGCGCGAAATATGAAAAGAACACTTTAGTTCAAGGTACGTTTATATACAGAAAATGGAGAGTATTTCAAACATTTCAGATGACCTTGAGATTCTGGAATTCTCTGGAAGCATACTGAATATGGTAGAAGGTTACATAATTATTCAATCAGAAATGTGACATGTAACTCTTCACTTTCAAGATGTCTTCTGAGATATTTCTATTGAATATTGATTGGATAAAATGTTTCCTAGAGTTTTCGCAGCCCTCTTGGGCTTTTTTATGCCAATTTTCTGGGTTTCTACAACAGACATGATTACTTGTCCTTTTTTTTGCAAAAAACCTTGGTCATTTCAACTTAAATTCAAGTTGTTTCAAGAAATTATTAATTATTATCAACATATATATGCATCTTCAATAGTTGAGATCATTAGTCATTGAAGCTAGACCAACATGGAAACCCTGGAAGCACTGGATGGCCGTTTGGTCTTATTGTGGGACTCCTCAGTAGTGCACATCCACGATCCCGTCTCACGAGATTCGAACACAAGACCAATCAGTCTCGCTCACGAGCGCTTAACCTCCAGACCACTGAGCCAGCATCCAACGGTATTATTGTCTAATTTCAACTGATCCACGAAATTGAGCGACATATCCAACATTGGATGCCGGCTCAGTAATCTAGAGCTTAAGTGCTCGAGTGTGAGACTGATTGGTCCTGGATTCGAATCTCACGAGGCGGGATCGTAGATGCGCACTGCTGAAGAGTCTCACAATAGGACAAAACGGCCGTCCAGTGCTTCTAGGTTTTCCCTTGTGGTCTAACTTCAATGGACTCATGATCTCAACTATCGATATATATAAAAATATAAATCAACTTACTACAGTTAAAATTTTACGTAATAATGAAGAATTTGGTGAAATAATAATTTTTGTTTTAAAAAAATTATTAATTAATTGTAATTCAATTTGATCTAATGTAGAATTATTGATTATTAAATATTGATTTTTTTGTTGATCAGTAATAAGATCATTTTGATCCTTTAGATCATTGGTATCATTTGGATCATTTTCGATCATTGATAATGTATGACTTAATAAAATATCTTTACTAATTGAAGTGAATAGATTGTATACTTTAGTATAACAATAATAATGATCATTATAATCATTATAAGTAGTATTAATAGTACTAGTAGTAGTAGTATGTATTGACTTCATTTGTTTTAATTGTTTATATATTTTCCATATAGATTCTATAGTAAATTGGGTTAAATATTTAGCTTTATATAATTCATTAGATAAATCTTTAATTAATTGATAAGCTGTATAATTATATATTTGTAAGAAGGCTTTCTGTTGTAATAGAATACCATATTGAACCTTGAAGCAATGAAAGAAAAGAAGGAGGAAAAGATGAATAGATATATATAGATAATAAACATTTATAACTAAGTCTATGATCAGTGGCTAGCAGTGGAATCCAGTTTGACCCGCGTTTCGTCCTATTTGGAACTCGTCAACTGAATGTACCTGCCATCATCACAGAGTTGATATTCACTTTGCTTATAAAGTTTGTGACTTCAAGTAATATTGAGGCAGTTCGCATAGGATGCACATATGCCAACAAGAGACTGAGTAATTGCAGTCGCAAGCTTTATGGACAAAGATGGATAGTGGCTAGCAGTGGAATCCAGGATGTACGTTTCATCCTATTTGTGACTCGTCAGATGGATGTGGCTGCATCTGAGAGTTGTGATTTCAGGCAATATTGAGGCAGTCCTTATAGGATGTACATTTGTCAACAAGCGACTGATCATTTGCAGTCCTAAATAACAATGAGATGTAAGTTTCATCCTATTCGGGACTCATCAGCTGGATGCATTCAGATTCCAAAGCTAGCCACTATCCATCTTTGCTTATAAAGATTATGAAATACAAGTTTATACAAAATAGATAAAATGTGACTAGCAATGGAATGTAAGGCATGCGTATCGTCTTTTATAGGACCCGTCAGCTGAATGTACCTGCCACATCATAGAGTTGATAATCACTCTGATGTTCACTTTGCTTATAAAGCTTTAGACTTAAGGCAATATCGAGGCAGTCCACGTAGGATGCACACATACCTACAAGAGACTGAGTAATTGCAGTCACAAGCTTTATAGGCAACGATGAATAGTGGCTACCAGTAGAATCCAGGAAGCTCGTTTCGTCCTATTTGGAACTGGTCAGCTATATGTATCCAAATTTCACTACTAGTCACTATCTATCTTTGCTTATAAAGGTTATGAAACTCAAGTTTATACAAAATAGATAAAATGTGACTAACAAGGAAAAGCATGCGTTTCATCTTATATGGAACTCGTCAGTTGGATGTATTTGCATCCTAGTGTTAATGTTCATACTGAAAATCTGATCCAGCAGCTGCATGTGGGATTTGAACTCAGAACGTTCGGTCTCACATGAGAATGCTCAACCTATTGATCACTGAGCCAGCATTCAACGATGTCAACGTCTAACTGCAATCAATCCATGATCTTACATAACCCTTCATCCTTTGACTGAATCTAGACATTAACATCTTTGGGTACGAGCTGAATGGTCTAAAGGTTAAGCGTTCACGTATGAGACTAAAGTTCCTGGGTTCAAATCCAGTGCGATGAATCATGGATGCACACTGATGAAGAGTCCCATACTAAGATGAAACGGTGGTCCAATGCCTACAAGTTTTCAATGATGATCTAACACTGAACCATTCATGATCTCAATAATTTTAATGCCAAATGGTTGGCGATGAATGATATAAAACACTATTAGACTTAAGGGTTTTGTCTTTGTTTATAATAAGAGATTAGATTGATAATATAATAATGCTGTTTTTCAGTGATCAGACCTCTACTTTTAAAATAATAGTTTTTTGTCCTACCTTCCTTCCTAATACTGGTTATTTATTGAAACTGACACTACACTGAAAACAAAGCAGAGATAAAGCGTTTCCCATGTGTTCTACGGGACATATATATATATATATATATATATATATATATATATATATATATATATATATATATATATACGTATTTATGCATAACCATTGGTGGTCTAATAGAAAACGGATATATGTTGGAACGATATCAAAAGATTAGCAGCTTATCATTGAATTGAGAATCAATACTCTGCTTAAATATGATTTTCTGTCATTTTTTAACAGACTGGTAATCATGTATTCACATTTTAGTTCTAAAACTAGTGTTCACTGTTAAGAATACCATGTTATTGATAATTTGATAATACCTAGCTAGATGTATCTGGATTCCACTGCTAACCACTATTCATCATTGCTTATAAAGATTATGAAAGTCAAGTTTACACAAAATTGAACCAAATGTGACTAACAATGAAAGGCATGCGTTTTGTCTTATCTGGGACTCGTCAGCTGCATGTGCCTGCCACATGACAGAGTTGATGTTCACTCTGATGTTCACTTTGCTTATAAAGCTTTTGACTTAAGGTAATATTGAGGCAGTCCGCTTAGGATAAACATATGCCAACAAGAGACTGATCATTTACAGTTCTAAATAACAACGGGATGTAAGTTTCATGTAAGGTAAGAAAAGTAAACTCCCTTTCACTTGTTCAGTGAAACAACATGATATCAATGCATATGAACCATCACAATTATGAATTCGACTGTTAAAATGTCGAAATTATGGATTGGTGTAATCCTAAGAATGACAGATAATTTCCAAAAAACATGGTTTTCAAATCAATGGTGAATCAGTGGACACATTGACATATACCCGATTTATAAGTGCATACGAAAAGAGCCAGAGGTCAACCGTAAAACTCAGTAAAAAGGATTATAAAAACAAATATAAATAACGAAACCTTAACTAAGAATCAATTAATAAAAACGAACTGATTTAACACTTGTACAGTTACTGGGAAGCGTAATTCTACATGAACTAGGCGATGATATTATTATCCAGCTCAGAACACTCGATAACACTGAAAATAATTCCTACTAAAGTGTGGCACTGATCTGTTTATTAATATTTTATAGTTGAAAGAATCAGTCAATTGAAGCTAAACCACCATAGAAGACCTGGAAACACTGGACGGCCATTTCGTCCTATTTTGGGACTCCTCAGCAGTGCTCATCCACGATCCCGCCTTGCGAGATTCGGACCCAGCGGTGGATATAACGCTCAATCTCGTGGATTGGTTAAAGTTAGACATTAACACCGTTTGATGCCGACCAGCTCAGTGGTCTAGAGGTTAGGTGCTCGCATGCGAGACTGATAGGTCCTCAGTTTGAACCTCACGAGGCGGGATCGTGGATGCGCACTATGAAAATACTGAAATCTCCACAAAACCCCTTCTGATATTATTATTTCAGTAGAAAATGATTACCATAAGAATGTTTTTGAAATATATGGATCTAGAATTAACTGATAGAAATCAAAGATATAGAAATTAAAATAGTTGTTACCAATGTCATTGTATAATTGTCGCTATATGCCATAAATTGATTGAAGCTGAAATTTTACAATTGGACGCCGACTTAGTGAATCAAGTGTCCAAGCTTGATCTGAAGGTTTTGAGTTTGATACACGGCTGGATCGTGAATGAGCACACCTGAGGTGTCTCGTATTAGGACTAAACAACTGAAAAATGCTTCCTAGTTTTTAATAAATTTTAACTGAGGTCAATACATGATGAATTATTTTTTCTGGTTAGCGTTTTTTTGGCGAGTTAGTTTTTCTACGGGATGGGGTCTCTAACCCTATGCCCAACCCTCCTCCTTTACCGTGGCTACAGGCGAATAACTACTACATCCATCGTCAAGAAGGTACAAGTATTTTTCAACAGTTGTCTACGCAAAATACTCAACATTCACTGCTTGGATACTATCAGCAACAGCGTTTTATGGGAGAGGACAAACCAGCTTCCAGATGAAGACGAAATTAGGAAAAGACGTTGGAAGTGGATAGGACATAGACTGAGAAAATCAACAATGTGCATTACAAGGCAATGGAAAATGGAAAGGCCAAAGAACACATTACGCTGAAAAATAGAAGCAGATATGAAAGGGATGAATGTTAACTGGAAATAACTGGAAAGGATAGCCCAGGAGAGGGTTGGATGGAGAATGCTGGTGGGTGGCCTATGCTCCTTGACGAGGGTTAACAGGCGTAAGTAGGTAAGTAAGTAAGTAATACATGATGAATCTAATCAAGGAGGCTACAATTAGTTAATAGATGATTTTCAATAACAGTTATTACTGATATTGTGATTAATAAATTCCAAGTGTTTAATTCTATATGATCAAACTTACTACTGTACTATTTCGTTTGAATAAATTCGCATTGAATTTCTGTAATAAATGGATTTGGATTGGAAGCTTTTCTAGTTGTACAACGGATTGTATATTATATGCTGGGCAAATATCTGTTAAATGTAAAACAGTTATATTCAGAATAAGAATTACAACGCAATTACATGAATGGATTATCTTTTAAAAAACATAAAATCTGGAACCTTCATCAAAGACTGACCGTACCTAGATAATCACTGAAAACAGGTAAGGACTAATTAGCTATTTCATCCTAGTATGACGTTGAATAACAATGTTCAATCATGATCCAAGCAGGGGTTGAACATAAAACGTTTAGTTATTGGACTGAACGGTGAACATTCTGACTACTTACTTGTCATCAAATGGTTATCTTACTAAAGTCAATCTATCAAGTAGACTTCAAGTTGAGCACTTTTGTGAAGTTTCCACACAACTTAATCTTTTGATAAATTTACGCAAAGCAAGAGCGACCAGATTGGTAGACTCAAATAAATTCATTCTATTCTAAGGCTTGTTATTAGCTGTAAACAGTAGGTAGAACATCATGTACAAAATACGAAAAACGGTTTATTGAAGTTTATTAAAGGCACTGATCATCGAAATCTGAAATCATTAGATAGCTGTGGCGTGCTAGTATTTAGACATTCCAGTGGTTGTGTGCATCAATGACTCCGCCACCAATGATCAAACGTAGAAAATTTGGTCTTGAAGGTTAACGCTTCATTTTCAGAACACCTAACCGGATACACTAATTATCGCAATAAAGTTAAGCAACCTCCACAACCTCTAATTTAATAATTATCATGGTAAGCAGAGATGGATAGTGGCTAGCAGTGGAATCCAGGACGCGCGTTTCGTCCTATTTGGGACTCGTCAGCTGGATGTACCTGCATCTCAGAGTTGGTGTTTACTCTGACTGTCCAGTTGCAGTCCTAACACATTGATGAGAAGATTCAAACAAGCAATACTAAATGAATAATAATTACCATGTTTTCACTAAGAATTAGTTCTGAAAATAAATTTTTGAGGCCTAATGAAAAGATGTGACCAGCGAAGTTCATCAGTATCTGGTGTCTTGAGGATACCATAGAAATCAATGAAGAATGCTGGCTCAACATATTGAATTGAGTAAAGTGAGACATGTACGCCACTGGATACTAGATCAATGGTTCAAAAGGGAAGCGTCAACGTGCAAGACCAAAGGTTCTATGTCTTATCAATAGTGGCGGAGTCTCTGTTGCACACAACCACTGAGGAGTCCCATACTAGGACGAGACAACGGTCCAATGATTCCAGGTTTTCAATAGTTATCTAACTTCAATTAATTCATGTCGTCAGTGACAGTCAACGATTTCCAAAACCCTCATACTAATAATAAGGATCGGTGAACAACTTAATATTCATAAAAGAAAACAGTGAACAATACAACTTGGTATAGTACAATTTATCTAAACAACAAAGAGTTTCACATATCCATCTATCAAGTTTGTTATTGACTGTAAATCGGTAAATTCACCACCCCACTCACCGAAATATAAATAAATATATTTGTATAGTAATCAACTTAAACGAAACTAACCTTTGCTCTTTGTTCCCAAGTGATTTCCACTTCTGATAAGATACTGTTGCTAAATCAATATCGGAAATATAAGAATAAAAGAAAACAGGACAGAGTTAATCAGTTCCAAATGATGTATAATATATGTATCTGTTATATCGTGTGAGTGCGTGCGTGCCCTGTTTGATATATGTATACGTGCTGATCCCCTCCAGTGAGAGAGTAGCGATTTATCGATCGGATCAATAATGCACGAAGGCCGTATGAGCAGTTTTGAGCACTTATCAATCTTACTATCTGTCTAGCCCAGCCAGTTAAGTCCAGAACACCAATAACAACCTCTGCAATATGAATCATTACTACTCTCAAGCATACTGGGTTTATATACCTAACAAACTGACCACATCGTACCAATAAAATAGAAAATAACATTTGTACAAGATTTATCCAAATGTGGCTGTGAATAGGGGGAATAGTAATCAATAGACTGGAGATAACTCAAGAATGGTAAATCGTGCAGTAATAGTCTATAGGTCAAAATGAAGCTTATAATAAGAGGGACACGAATATGAACAGTTTAGTTACTTAACAATTATACAATAGGAAATATACATATCACATTGGTCCATAAATAGTCCTCAGAGTTACTATACATACTTCTCCACGGGATACAGCAGTATTAAGATTGAAATTATATTGATCAAGTTGATGATATCAGTTTTGTAAAAAAGATTAATATTCTTGATTTATCATTTATCATATGCTCATAATGTTATCATACTTTGGTCTAAGAGTAAGAACACGCATTTTATTCTTTCAGTGATTCGTCGATCAAATTGATATTTGTACAACTCAGTGTTGAACTTGACATTGATCCTCTATTCGAGTAATTATTGATTTTAAATACAATACTTTATTCATTTAACTATTGAGTCATAATGAAATAAAAAATCTGGGTCTTAGTGTTGTTTTATAACTACGTCCAATATCAAGACATTCAATCACGAAGCCTATATACCACCAGAGATCAATCAAATTCAGCCCTGATTGTTATGGTAGTGTTATGTTCTTTGAGAGGAATAGTTTAATTGCAAAACAAGTGTTTTGTTCTGGAAGAGATCAACGCCTTCAGAAGTGATTTTCCTTGTTGTTTTTTTCATGAGCGTTAAATCAATCTATTCTGATAACACTGTCCACAACTGATTGTCTTCACAGTTTTCGTCGTCTTTATTTGTCTGTGTATTTATGTTGAATAATTTGTTCGTTTGACGTCAATATACGACAAACATATTAGTGTGAAACCAATTTATCTTCCTTACGCCTGTTACTCTCAATGAAGCATAGGCAGCCAACCAGCACCTGTATCTTCTGGATGATCGCTTTTGTAGTTCTCCAGGTTTTCACCCCATACGGTAGAACTGTCTTGACATTTGTATTGAAAATTCTGACCTTGGTGTTGGTTGACATTTTTTTTGAGTTCCAGGTGTTCTTCAGTTGTAGATATGCTGCACTTGCTTTGCCGATCCGAGCCTTCACATCTGCATCAGATCCACTGTGTTCATCAATGATGCTGCCCAGATATGTAAAGGTTTTCACATCCTCCATAGCTTCTCCATCAGTCTTTGAGAAAAAAGCCAAATAGTCCAGCGTTTTGAGTAAACAGTTATTTGAATTTCCTCAACGATATGACACACATCAATTTCAAAGTGATTATTAATCTGTCAAGCTCTAGTCATCGGGAATATAGGTAAGCTGTTGACATCAAGTTTCTGGATTCTGATTTATAGATCCAAATAGAATCATCATTTCTGTTTAGACTCTCACCTACTATACATTCCTAAAGCTTTAGGGATTTATGTTTTCAAGCCTACACTCTGAGAGAAAACAAAGTATGTGCAATCTCTCGTCCTACCAAATCTGCAACGACCTATCTAGGAGTACCAGCGTGAGCATCAACTTTGAGATGCAGGTACATTCAGCTGATGAGTCTCAAATAGGACGAAACGCGAGTCCTGGATTCCACTGCTAACCACTATCCATTCTACCTTATCTCGTTTGTCTATTTTTATAATCGGTAATCAGTTATTGTCGACCTCTACAATTATCCATAATTATTATCAAATTGTTATTTTTCATGGTTGAAATCATGAGTCAATTAAAGCAAGACCACCATGGAAAACCTGGAGACACTGGACGGTCGATTCGTTCTATCATGGGACTCCTCAGCAGTGCGCAACCACGATCCCGCCTCACGAGATTCAAACCCAGGACCTATCAGTCTCGCACCAGAGCACTTAACCGATTGTTATTATCATTTTCATATTTTTCATTTCTACTTCAAATCTGTCATGTGGATAATGATCTCTCATATTTATGATTTGTGCCAGATTTTCATATCACTATTTTGCTTTAACCTGTTGACAGTTACATAACATCCTTGTGATACACATTTTCCTAACATTTTATGACATAATCCCCTTCTACTTTATAGTTAACTATTATATTTCAGAAGGGGTTTTTTGTCGGTATTTCAGAATTTTCATAGTTGAAATCATGAGTCCATTGAATCTAGACCACCATGGAAAACCTGGAAGCACTGGACGGCCGTTTCGTCCTATTATGAGACTCCTCAGCAGTGTGCATCCATTATTATTATATTTGTTTTATCAATTTGTATAAGGCTGTACAGCTTCCATAAATGATGTTGTTGGAAATGAAATCTTTACTGATATTCATTCCCAGATTTATTTCAGTTAGAAATTTGCATGTATCTATGTTTCTTGGTAAATAATGTATTATGAGATGATTAACTCTTATAAATCAATCAAAAATTTGTGTTCTATTGACGTCTTTGTTGATAGTGTGGTGTGTGCTACTGATGTTGACAGATGTATAAGTAGTGTGTATCACAGATCGAAAGTGAAATGCTTGGAGGTGGAAAGTTGAGCAAATCAAAGAGAACAAGAGCAGAGAGTTATTGGTATGGAAACGAAGTAATAACAAAGTCTGAGACAACTGATGTATAGTTTGCTAATGGAGTATTTACTGTCAGGTTCTTAGGTTTTAATAAAATATTCTGTAATATTGAATTGTAATGCATTTGGTTGTCCCCCCCCAGGTGTTCTCGTTAACAACAATAGTTGTAGGATTGACTGGTATAACATAAAGGTTTCTACCAAATTGTATTTTATTGTATTAAGCCAAAAATAAATTGTTGGTTCATTTGTAAAATTTGTTTTAATTCTTACTCATCATATGAGGCCCATGTCATAACGTATCACCTATCAATTTGTTTTGGCTTAATGTATGAGTAAGCTGAACATAAACTCAGTTAGAGTGAAAGAAATTTTGACCCTAAATCCAACCAGTTCTGTTCTGACATATCAACTCACTGAAGACAATGGTGAATGGTTGTTCAATTTCGTGAATTGTTTGAAGTTAGACATTAACACCGTTGGATGCCGGTCACCTCACTGGTCTAATGGTTAGGCTCTTGAGTGCGAGACTGATAGGTCCTATATTCGAATCTTGTAAGGCGGGATCTTGGATGCGCACCGACAGTCAGGAGTCCCACAATAGGATGAAACAGCCGTCCAGTGTCTCCAGGTTTTCCATGGTGATCTAGCTTCAATTGACTAATGATTTCAACTATATAATATAACTAATTTCACTAATATACTACTATCAACAACTTACTTGTACATTAATATAAGAATGAAACTTTGGTCCAACAATAATTGACTGATCATATTGATTATTATTATTATGAATATTAAACTGTTGTCTAGGTGAACAATTTTTATTTTGTACAGTTAAATAAAATCCTACATAACCTTTATTTGGTATTATATAATCATATTCTTGTGGATCCAATATAAGTTTCAGTTCAGCAGCTAACATAAAAAGAAAAAGAATAAAGAAATTATAGAAGGGGTTTTGTGGAGATTTAGTATTCATTATAGTTGAAAGCGTGAGTCAATTGAAGCTAGACCACCATGGAAAACCTGGAAACGCTGGACGGCTGTTTCATCCTATTATGGGACTCCTCGTGGATCAGTTGAAGTTAGACATTAACACCGTTGGATGCCGGTCAGCTCAGTGGTCTAGAGGTTAAGGGCTTCGGCTCGAGATTGGTAGATCCTGGGTTCGAATCTCGCGAGAGCGGGTTCGTGGATGCGCACTGCTGAGGAGTCTCATGATAGGACGAAACGGCCGTCCAGTGCTTCCAGGTTTTCCATGGTGGTCTAGCTTCAATTGACTCACGCTTTCAACTAGAATAAAGAAATGATTATCAGAAGGGGTATTTGTGAATATTATAGTAAGTTTAATAGTTGAGATCATGAATCAATTGAAGCTAGACACCCCTAGAAAAACATGTAAGCACTGGACAACCGTTTCGTCCTATTATTGAACTCTTCAGCAGTGTGCATCCATGATCCCGCCTCACGAGATTCGATGATGAAATTGATCATTCTTCAAAGATTAGTCCATTAAAATATCTCGATGTAATCAATTCTAGATCGAACGGTTCAATGGTAATGTGTCAGACTATGAAACTGAATAACTTGGGTTCGAATCCACTGGACAACATTAGTTGCCTTGACATTTTAAAATATACATATATCCAATAATATGAAGGAAATATGGAAATAAAAGTAGTAGTATATATCACCAATCGAAAGTTGAATACCTGAAGGTAGAAGATTGAAAGAAATCGAAGAGAAGAGAATGAGAACAGAGAGAGTGATTGATATGGAAATGAATGAACAACAAAGACTGAGACAATTGATGGATATTTTGCAGATGAAGTATTTACTGTCAGGTTCTTGGATTTGACTAAGATATTCTGTAATGTTGTATCGTAATGCATTAAGTCGTCCCCACTGGTGTTCTCATTCATAACAATAAGACTCGACTTTTTATTGCGATTTGGCAGATTCTGTACTGAGAATGTTTGCAATGAATATAATCAAAATATGGTACTGGAAAGCGAGTATCATTACTGATATCATTAGTTGAGGTACCATTGACAACAAAAATCCACTTAACATTGGATCCTTTAGTAGCGGTGTAGCCAACGAAGACATGGTAGAGAAAACTTATTTATCAGTTTATGCAGTTTTAAAGTGAATCATCATCACTATCATTTTCACCTCTTCCTTGAGTTCCTCTTTACATATTCTGTCATCTTTTCAATTCTATTATTATTTCGATCGCTTTCCGTCTTTCTTCCTCTTCTCTTTATTTCAATCTTCTGCTGGTAAGCATCCCAATCCCTACCACATACTACTTATATTTGTCCATATAAGTAGCGTACAACACACCGGAAAACATCAACCCTACAAGAAATTTCAATTCAAGATTAGTGGTTCTCAAGTCACTACTCCAAATGTAAGACCACTGAGCGCATGCTTTGACTATAGTAACTACAACAAAGCAATTTGGATCTCCGTCAAGGTCATTATATTTGATTTAAACAACCTATTCAGACCATAAAGGAATGGAAACAATTAGTTTCCGGTAGTGAATTTTTTCAGTAACCTTAATTTAAGAAAGTCAAACTTTAGGATAGTACGAAACATTTTCAAATTATCCTGACTTCTTCCATGATATTTCATATATATTGACTGTTAAATGGTGTTTGACTGAATTCCTCAATCAACGAACTACAATCAGTTTTGAAGAGCTGAATATAACAATGCTTACTACTAAATAATCTAAACATATACGAAATTTTATAGTTGAAATCATGAGTCAATCGAAGCCAGACCAACATGAAAAACCTCGAAGCACTGGACAGCTGTTTCGTCCTATTGTTGTACTCCTCAGCAGTGCACACTCACGATCCCACCTCACGAGATTCAAATCAGGACTTATCAGTCTAACGCGTGAGCTCTTAACCTCTAGACCACTGAGCCGGCATCCAACTTCAACCAGTCCACAATCCCACAATAGGACAAAACGGCCATCCAGTGCTTTAAGATTTTCCATGTTGGTATAGCTTCAATTGGCTCATGATTGCAACCATGAAATTACTAAAATCTCCACAACACCCCCTCCTGATATACGAAATTTGTTTATAATGAATACTACTAGAAGAGTTATAAACAGTTTGATGACAAAATCCCTAACTATGAGATAGGAACTCCTGATGGATCACAATTCACATCGAGATTGTATGTGTAATGACAGTGAGTTTTGTAGATATTGGAGAATTTTTATTGATAAGTCACGAGCTAATTTAGGCTAGATCACCGTTGAAAACTATTATTTGACGAACAGCTATTCCATACCAGTAAGGAACTCGTCAACCAGGTCGTCGACGTGCACCACTGACAAATTCCATACTGTGAAGAAACGGCCATTCAGGTCTTTCAGGTTATCAGTTCTCTAGCAGAAACTTAACTACCAATATTTAAATTCAGGAAAAAGAAATCGTTTTAAGGTTAAGGCATCAAAATCTGTCTTACTTCTGGAAATATTCAAATGGAATTGATAACACCATCCATGTATTGTAAATATCGAAATAAAATCATTCATCGTACATTGATCATCACCATACTGACAACTGAAATGGTACAAATTAACTATTGAGTAAAGATCGGAACAAAATGAATTGTATTAGATGAATTTACGAGTCAACGTAAGCTAGACCATCGTCGAAAACCTGGAAAGCACATAAATATTGGTACAAAGGGACACCAGATACATATGCGCCACACAAACCTCATTTGATTTCTATGAGGGCTGTGATACTGGTGTGATCCAGGTTCCCAAACCGAAGTAGGCGATTTCCTTAAGGGCCATTCAGATTCTTTGACCTAAAGGTCTAATCCACAATGCGGTGGAACATCGTGAGGAGATGCAGTCCCATGGTAGCCGGTGACCAACGATTGATTCGTACGCTATTTGTTCCATCAGGATATTGAGGCCAATGTGTACATTGGTTTGGAATCAGGGTTTTCCAACTCCCCTAGGTGGACACGCCGTGTCAGACATTCGCTTTTCATCCTCTCAATTTTGTAAACAACACCCGTGGTGTGAAAAAGCAATGAGTAGGACTTTCCTGGCAGAGGCTATATACGCGTGGCTATGTGAGAGCATTTGGAGAGGGAGAGCGAAATCTCCCCACTCTCGACCGTATCGGGGCATTTGAATCTATTTGAATCTAATAACTCAACAAACTACACATTTGTGATTGAAATGAAATATATCAAGTCTTAGTTTCTATTCACTAGAATATATATAGAGAATACTTACCTCTTATTAATGACCTCTTTAATGGTATATCGTTTATAAAATAAATAATTATGGGGGGGGAATTTAAGCAAAGGAAAATTTTATTCAAACTTATTACTGAATTCTCTAGAGTATCAATCCTATTAAATCCTATTATAACATTAAATGTGAAAAATTCATGCTCCTATCACCCTGTTAGATACATATTCCCCTTATTACCTGTAATGAATGAATGAATGAATGAATGAAAGTGTTGTGACCTCATGAAGAAAAAAAAAGGTAAGAACAGTAAATTCGATCATGACCGTCAGGATGATCGGTTTTGGTTAAATAACCTCTCCCCCTCCCCCCCAAAAAGAAATTAAGGCTTGTTTTCTTTATTGAATTCTTTTTACCTTTTACAATTCTATATCCTTTTTAGGTATCTCTACACTGTTCATTCTCAACCTTTCGCATATATACATAAAAACACATTGAATAGGATAGAATAAGATTCATGTTTCATCTGTTCATAAATTAGTTATTTGACCTTAATAATGATGAATAGTTAATGAGGCAAAACAAACATTTAAAATTCTAGATAATTGAAGCTAGATCACCATTGAAAACCTGGAAGTATTGGACGACCGTTTCTTCCTAGTATAGAATTCCTCAACAGTGAGCATCCATGATCCCGCCCTGCGAGATTTATAGCCACGACCTATCAGTCTCTCGCTCGAATGCTTAACCTCTAGACCACTGAACTGGCCGGTATCAAAAGGTGTTAATATCTAACTTCAACTAATACATGAAATTGAGCGATACATCCACCATTGTCTTCAGTGAGTTACCATCTCACAACAGATCCGGTTGTTTATTCAGTATAAAATTATTTCATTCGCGTGTGAAGTTTACCCAAGATACAATATTCTTTGTATTAAACTAATGTGAACTAAGCTCAACATGACATATTGCATGTGATTTGTTATAACTCAGGGCATTTTTCATATATGTAATATTATTCTAATTCATAATCAAAACAGGTGAACTATTGATATGTTATGAGTGCATTATCGACTGGGGTCGTCAGTGTAGTGTTTCGGGGTTAATAAGTCTCCACTTGTGCAGGTCTTGGTGTTCTTACTTGGCGTTGTAGGAATTGTAGTGTATCCTCGTTTTAGAAGTATAAATATTAAGCTTCAATAGATATTTCCTGCAGTTCTAATGGGAATCAGTGACTAGTGGAATTCAACTGAGTCTGTTGTGAGATAGTGACTCACTGAAGACAATTGTGGATGTGTCGCTCAATTTCGTGGATTGGTTGGAGTTAGACATTAACACCGTTTGAAGCCGACAGGCTCTCAAGTTAAGCGCTCGCGTGCGAGACTGATAGGTCCCGAGTTCGAATCTCGTGTGGCGGGATTATGGATGCGCACTCTTGAGGAGTTCCACAATAGGATGAAACGACCGTCCAGTGTTTCCATGTTTTTCATGGTGGTCTAGCTTCAATCGACTCATGATCTCAACTATTAAAATTACTATAATATCCACAAAACCCCCTTCTGATATTAAATTTATTTATTTGTAAATCTGAACAAAAGAAAAAAGGAACACTTTTCCTCTCGAATATGTTTTATTAAAGGAATTAAAAGTTTCCCTTTGACTAATTTTTATTTATTTAAAACAATTAAAATATTTCATGTAGGTGCTTTAAACTATTAATAAACAATTAAATTAAATTATACATAAATTTAGCAACAAACCATTTTGTGGGGGGAAGGGGTGAGGCTGGTGATAGGGGGAACAATTTTTTTTCTGTTTCAACTAATGTAAATTTATATTACTAACCAGTGTATGTAGTGAATATTATTTTATAACTCTAGTGTTAGTTAAATCTGTTTATAGGTAAATTTAAAAACACTAAGTATAAACTAATACTGACTTCGAGAAGTACATCCAGGAGTTCTAGTGAGAAACAGTGACTAGTGGAGTTCAATCGAGTCTGTTGTGAGGTAGTAACTCACTGAAGACAATGATGGATGTGTCGCTCAATTTCGTGCATTGGTTGAAGTTAGACATTAACACCGTTAGATGGTGGCCAGCTCAGTGATTTGGAGGTTAAGCGCTCGCGCGTGAGACTGATAGGTTTTGGGTTCGAATCTCATGAGGTTGGATCGTGGATGGCAGTTGCTGAGGAGTTCAACGACAGGGTGAAACGGCCGTCCAATGCTTCCAGGTTTTCCATGGTGGCCTAGCTTCAATTGACTCACGCTTTCAACTATGATAATACAATTTATTTTGTCGATTTGAAATGTTATGATAATGTTGACTATTTGCTAGTTTGCGAATGAGTTCTATGAGAATGTGGTGGGGCGGAGTGAGTCTGCTCACTCTCTCACTCCATAAATGATCTCATATGTCCACGAGTATACACACACTGATAGGGAAGTCCTCCTCAATGCCTTCTCACGGTGGGGATGTTGTTTATGAAATTGAGAGAACGAAGAGCAAATGTTTGGTGCTTTAACCGTGTTGATGGATATGGAGGATCCATCTAGGGGAGTTGAAAAAAACCTGATTCCAAACTAATGGCGCACATGAGCTCCAGGATCCTAAAGAAGCAAATGAAGTACGAACTTACTGTTGACCACAAGCTACCATGGGACTGTATCTCCTTACATTTCTCCATTGACTTACGTATTAAACCTTTAGATGAAAGACCCCGGGTGTGGCTCATTACTTACAAAACATTAGTAAGCAGATAGAAAATACCACACACCTTCATTAATATGATTATTCCAATTCTGTTACACTATATATAAAGCATCTTAATGAAATGGTGAAGAAACATACAAACAAAAATCAAACCAATGGGAGATATAACCAAAACAAAGAAATAAACAATAACAGATTTAAGGTCAGTAAGAACCAATCAACATCGAGGTGTACAGGACAAGTTGTGAACTATATGTGGAGAAATTCAAACACTTCACTTCCACTCGTAGTTTGTACTGATGATGTTGTTCAGAAGAACGATGAAAGCTTCACATTCAAAACATCCAGTTCAGGGAACAAAACTCCACTATAATGAAGCATTTTAATATTAAATAAAATTTAAAAAAGAAGAAATAGAATAGAAATATTTAATATCGTTAAGATCATGAGTTACTTGTAGCTAGGACACCACTATGGAAAGCATGTGTATGTGTGTGACTCCCCAACGGTGCGCATCCACGTTCCCGCCTCACGAGATTCGAATCTAGGACCTATCAGTGCTTCTAGATTTTCCACGATAGTCTAGCTTTAATTGACTTATGATCTTAACTATATAAAATGACTAAAACCTCCACAAGACCCCTTTTGTGAGAATAGAAATAATTTACCTTTTTAATGTTGAAGAAATTGGATGTGCCATAAGTTTCATTTGTTCCGATGTTAAATATGTATCATTTAATAGATTGATTATATCAATTTTACCATATTTTTTAATTAAATAAGTATAAATATCACTTCCATTATATAATGAAAATAAAGCAGATAATCTAAGGAAATCAAAAAAAAAAGAAAAAGAAAAAAAAGAAAAATCAATAAAGGTAACTTAATTAGTAACTATGTAATAGATTCTCTTTCAACTTTGATTCATTTATATTGTTATGGATTCAGTATCAGTTTGAAAAAGAAAAGGAGGCTTGATGACCTGTGTTAGTCCTGGCAATGATGGTCTCTCAGCTGATCCAACTTTCTTTTGAAGGAATCGACGGATGGAGCCTCAACCACGTGCTGAGGTAATGAATTCCACTCGTTGATTATTCGATTGGAAAGTCAGTAGTCAGATGACAAGTAATTCGTTCTGAGCTTGTGAACTTTTTTGGAGTGTCCTCGTAGATTTTCTGTTTTGGAAGACAAGAAAAATGAGGGCATATCAGGTGCAAATTTGTCATTAAACAATTTGAAAACTGTAATCAAGTCGCCTCTGATTCTTCTATATATAGAAGAGGGGACTCAAACTAAATTTTATTTTCCTCTTTTTCAAAATACTTAACAAACTATCCATTATATCTAACAAAAGTGATTCAATATGTAGAAACTTCATATTACAACATTTGTAATTGCTTGTCACTAGTGAAATAAACGCTGGAAGTGGATTGGGCACACATTGAGGAAATCAGATAATTGCGTCACAAGACAAGCCCTCACATGGAATCCTGAAGGTCAACGGAGAAGAGGAAGACCAAAGAACACATTACGCCGAGAAATAGAGACAGACATGAGAAGAATGAACAAGAACTGGATAGAACTAGAAAAGGAAGCCCAGGACAGATTGGGTTGGAGAATGCTGGTCGGCGGCCTATGCTCCATTGGGAGTAACAGGCGTAAGTAAGTAAGTAAGTAAGTAAGTAAGTGAAATAAACTGTTGTATCCCGAAAAGAATTATGAATGGTAACTTTTGAGGATTAATTATTGGTCAATATAGTATGTATATTTCCTATTGTAATTAACCAAATCATATTCATTGTTCCTCTTATCATTAACTTTATTTTGACCTATGAACTATTATTATACGATCCTTGAGTTATCATCAGTCTATTGATGACTTTCCTCCTATTCACAGCCACATTCGGCTAAATATTGTACAAATGTTATTATCTATTTTATGGGTCGATATGGTTTGTTTGGTTGGTATATAAAGTCAGTATGTTTGAAATATAATGATTCATAGCACTGAGGCTGTTATTAGTGTTTTGAACTTAACTGGTTGAGCTAGGCAGATTGCAGGACCGGTTAACACTCTAGTCTACTTATACGGTTTCGTGTGTCACTATTCCTTTCGACAATTCGCTGCTCCCTGCTTGGCGGTTTTATCAAGTCACACATTAGGAAGTCATCCACTCGGCCAAAAGCATAACACAAACATATTTCACATTTTCTCTCTATATGAATTACTTTATTTGTAAATTTTTTAGACTGTGAAATAATCTACCACAAACTAACTGTCCAATAAAAGTTCTCCTATTGTTTGTTCGCTGTATTGATGCATACTCGTCCTCTGAAAATGCATGAAATGTTTTAGCCCCTGTAAGTGTATCTTACTTCACAAGTGAGATTATAGGAACTTTAAATGTTTAACTACTTCACATGCTGTCACTTTACGTCAACACTGTCCCTAGCAACCTCAACTTGTTTGAATAATATCTAACATGAACAGTGGTAAATCTGACCAACATATATTTTGGCAATCATTGTTTTGTTGTTTTGTGCTTTCTGTTTGAATTTTACTTTTTCTAGTTGTAGATAATTATCAATAACTCGTCCTGGCACTGGAAATAACCTTAAAGAACAACGTTTATAAATCATCAGGCTATCCTTTTGAAAAAAACTTTACAGTTCCTTGCTGATGCATTGGATTGCCGTGAGACATGTCATAAATAAACTACTTAACAATGACTGAACTAGCAAACTTAAAACAATCTTATATCACATGTTTATTCTTTACCTAATGTTGTTATTTATATCCAATTGATCATGCCTGTAAATTGGTGTGAATTCTATGTTTATTATTTTCAGAATATATTATTATTATAAACTGATAAGAAAAAGAAGGATTGAGTCCCAGAATGAACATCAACTCTGAGATGCAGGTACATCCAGCTGATGAGTTCCAAATAGGACGAAACACGCTTCCTGGATTCCACTGCTAGTCACCATCCATCTCTGCTTATAATGCTTGTGAATTAAGGCAATATCGAGGCAATACGCACAGTATACAGATATGTCAATAAGAGATTGATCAATTGCAGTCCTAAACGTCAATGAGAAGATACAAGTAAACAACAACAAGTGAATTTAAGCTTCACCCCATTTCACAAGAAATTGCCTATGAGCACTCACTAGCTGAGTGGATAACGTGATAGCGTTTAAAGTGAAAAGTATTGGATTCGACTCTGAGATGCAGGTACATCCAGCTGACGAGTCCTAAATAGGACAAAACGTGCATCCTGGATTTAACTCCTAGCCACTATCAATCTTCGCTTACAATCTATTGATGATAGAAACAAAATGTGCTTTGTGTCCAATTCTATAAATCAAGTTGCAGTGTTGGAACACCAGTTTAAGTGACCCAACATCATATCCACTATGTCAGGATGTTACTTAGTTGGAGATAATAGTTCAATAACTTAACATTAAATGTAGTTCATCCAGTAACAAGTCACTCAGACCGATATTCTTTCAATACAACTCAATTGATAGAATTCAGTCAGTAATAGACAACTAGATAGATATAAGATAGATCACTACTCAACGATCGGTCAGTTGTAGACATCTCAGTCTTATAGATGATTCTTCACTGTCCGAATAATTCACTGATAACGTTTTAGACTTTAAAGTTCGGTGGCGCAAATTCTAATCTTGAACGGAATATTAGTTATCTAAAAACAATCCAACAATACCTTGTTGACATGCGTTTGTAATACAGGCAATATATTTAAAGTAATTAGTGCTTCATATGAGATGTACTTACTTACTTACTTACCTACCTACTTACTTACTTACTTACTTACTTACCTACCTACTTACTTACTTACTTACTTACCTACTTACTTACTTACTTACTTACTTACGCCTGTTACCCCTCTTCGAGGAGCATAGGCCGCTCTCCAGCATTCTCCATTCAACTCTGTCCTGAGCCTTCCTTTCCAGTTCTTTCCAGTTAACATTCATCTTTTTCATATCTGCTTCTATTTCCCGACGTAATGTGTTCTTTGGCCTTCCACTTTTCCGCTTCCCTTCCGGATTCCAAGTTAGGGATTGCCTCGTGATACAGTTTGTTGATTTCCTTAATGCATGTCCTATCCACTTCCAACGTCTTTACCTAGTTTCCTCTCCAGCTGGAAGTTGGTTTGTTCTCTCCTATAAAAAGCTGTTGCTGATAGTATCCAAGCAGTGAATGTTGAGTATTTCGCGTAGACAACTGTTGAAAAATACTTGTACCTTGATGACGATGGATGTAGTAGTTCTCCATGTTTCAGTTCCATACAGTAGGACTGTCTCGACGTTCGTATTGAAAATTCTGACTTTTATATTGGTTGACAGTTGTTTTGAGTTCCATATGTTCTTCAATTGTAGAAATGCTGCCCTTTCTTTGCCAATCCTCGCCTTTATATCTGCATCCGATCCTCCTTGTTTACCAATGATGCTTCCTAGGTATGTGAATGTTTCCACCTCTTCCACCTCTTCTAATATGAGATGTGCTGATAATTTATTCGACTGATGTATGTCGAATAAAATGAAATTCATATCACAGATTCTTCTAATTATCAGGTTATCGAATATATGAGAAAACTCCCATAATTCTTTTTTGAGTATTTAAGATCAATTAAGAATAAAACTGAAATTTATGATTAGGAAGAAGGTTAGATTAGTTGAAGTTAAACATTAACACTGTTGGATGCTGGCTTAGTGGTCTAGAGGTTAAACATTCTCTCTCGAGACCAATAGGTCCTAGGTTCGAATCTCTTGAAGCGGGATCGTGTACGCGCATTGGTGAGAAGTCACACAATAGGACGAAACAGCCGTCCATTGCTTCCAAGTTTTCCATAGTGGTCTAGCTTTAATCGACTCATGAACTCAACTATTAAAAGGGTTACAATTATTCTTTATCTCTTTTTGTTTATAATTTAGTTAGATTATATTTTTATTCTATCACTTTACTAATATTATTCGATTTTAAATTTTATTAAATGCGCGCGTCAATTGTATTCATTTATTTAAACATTAAAAAAAGATTTACGAATCCTTTTAAATATTATGATCATATATTATGACAATTGGATTATGTATTCCTTGTTGTGCAACAATAAATACTACTACTTATACTACTACTACTACTATTACTACGACTACTGTTGTGAACAAAACACAAGTTGGGGACAATCGAATGTATTAAAGCACAAATTACAGACTATCTCACTAAGTTCTGATAACCATACAGTGAATAGTTAATTTGCAAAATAACAAACGATTGTCTCAATCTTGACACTCGTCCCCCCTTTAAAGCAATCGTTCATGCGGTGGTTCTGCTCGCCGTGCACACCTTCTTCTTGTACTGCAGTCTGCGCCAAAATCTCCGTCAGAATGTTGAATCTGCGGCGCGCTGACCTCCATAGCTCCGTCGACCTTCCGGGACACCAACATCCGCATCCACCCGGCACCTGGGACGTTCAACACCCGTACTCCACCTGCCTGCTGAGCCATCTACATCCGATGCCCGCCCAGGAGCTGCATGTCCCATTGCTCCTCTCCGTCGACAGCACCCGCTACAGCCAACGCCGCCCCGCCAGAACACTCCACTTGACGCAACCTCTCCGCACTAGTCTGCCCCAACAAACACCTCAACTCCAGACCCGCAGTGGCGTCCACAAAACAGCACCCTTCCTCCATCTAGTTGGCAGCGACACCAAATGTGGTGAACAGAACACTAGTTGGGACAATCGAAACACTATACTACTAATAACACTACTACTGCTGTGGTGTAGTTTACTTA